ACCCCACGGGCTGCAGGTGGATCTCTGCATCCTGCATGGGACCCCATGGGCTGCAGGTGGATCTCTGCACCCTGCATGGGACCCATGGGCTGCAGGGGGATCTCTGCACCCTGCATGGGACCCATGGGCTGCAGGGGGATCTCTGCATCCTGTGTGGGACCCCATGGGCTGCAGGGGGATCTCTGCACCCTGCATGGGACCCCATGGGCTGCAGGTGGATCTCTGCATCCTGCATGGTCACCATGGGCTGCAGGTGGATCTCTGCATCCTGCATGGTCACCATGGGCTGCAGGGGGACACCTGCTCCACCATGGTCACCAGGGCCTGCAGAGGAATCCCAGCTCCAGTGCCTGGAGCACCTCCTCTCCCTCCTCTTCCACTGACTTTGGTTTCTCCATGCTGTTTTCCTCACACGTCATCACCTCCCCCTCTTCTCTGGCTAGAAAAAAAACTGCATGCCACTTTGTTTTGGTTTCTTAAATCTGTTACCACAGAGGCATAACCAACATCTCTAAYTGGCCCAGGCTTGGCCAGTGGCATGTCCATCTTCAGAGCCATCAAGGATTGACTCTGCTGGATATAGTGGCAGCTTCCAGCACCTTCTCATAGCAGCCATTTCTGTTCCCCCCCCAGCCCCCGCTACCAAAACCCAGGCCATGAAAAACCAACACAATAAAATTAAATATTGGGGCATAAATGCCATTTGGTTGGGGACAAATCGGGCAAAAAGAGAACCAACAGAAAATGCTTGAGGTGAAWTGTTTTAGCTAATGGTATGTTTTTTGCTTAAAATAAAATTTAATAATTWGAGTTGATGTAGATGCTCATAACACTCTCAAACTTGTATTAGTCATTTTTCTTGCAATTAAAGGGATTAATTTAGCATAAAAAAAACCCCACTCATTTTTTTGGGATGAATGATCCTGAGAACCAAAATAAAACAACTTATTTGTACTTACATGCGTTTTACATGAGGCCACTTTAATTAAATTTATTGTGGCATATTCTAAACTAATGAATTCATGTTTTGTATTCTCTGTGCAGGAGGAAAAGTAATTACATTTCAGTTGCATTATAGTTGAGCAGGTTCTAACAGACACAGGGACAGAGTTGAAGTATTTCCATCTTTGAGACTGGAGTTTTAATTCACAGCCAGCTCCTGACTTGCACAAGGGTGGGAGGTAGATGCCACAAATTGTAGCCCAGTTCCATCTGCAGTTTAATTTAGGAATCTAGGCCTAAGTACCTATTTGTTATGCACAGAATGAGGCTCAGAGGTCACCAGGGCCAGGGAGGCAGTGGCTGCTTCTGTAAGTCAAACGAGTTTAGAGCACTTGAGCGTTTTTCTTTGTCGTGTTTAATCTATGTGCACCTCAAAATGGGATTATGTCATGGAGAAAAATCCTCTAACCCAAACAAAACCCAAAACATCTGTATATATATGGGGGAAAACCAGAAAAGTTTTCTAGGGGGTCTGAGCAMGGGTTGGGGAGCAGCTTTAGGGACTGTGGTCCAGATGTGGGAGGCTTGTTTTTAAGGCAGAGACTTAGGAATGATATTTCTGGATGAAACGAAGGGGTGAGAAGGTCCAAGGGAAAGAAGGCCAAAAGACCCTCACGAGTAAATTAAATGGGGTGGCTGTTAAATTAAATGGGTGCAATGTGCTTTTCCACCTGGAATGTGAAATGGGAGAAGACAGCCACTACACTTACCTCCTTGTGGAAAAATGAACCTTGGAATGGCCAGGGGGAAGAGACAGAACAGGCAAGACRGGAGAAATTGCTCCAGCAGCAGCATCCAAATGAGATGATGCAGGGATGAARACATGGATCTGATGAGCTGGGAGCTRAGTGGGGAAAGGAGRATTTTCAGGKGSGTTACAGCACATTCCAGGCTGGAGGTGAAGGGGGGTGTTTCATGTAGTTCAGTTGAATGATGCAGATTAGAAATAAATAAATTAAACTCATGTGAAGGTCTCTCTCTCTGCCAGCACAAGGCTGTGGGAGAAACAAAGCCTGTGCTGGAGCATCAGAAACAACACATGAAATGTGGGAATTACAATGGMTATTACATCAGATGCCAGATACTGCAGGGGATGAATCAGACCAGCATCTGGAGGCTTGGTGCATCCACAGTGAACTTGCACTGATTTGACTATAAGGGGAAAAAAATAACCCATGAAACAACTTTCAATATGAACCCTGTTTCAGGAAAGGGCATTGTTCTTCATTCCATCGTGGGACTACATCTCTTGCGGTAGAGCCAGCAAGTTTTCAAAAATGTTAGAAGGACTCTTGGAAATCCAAATAAAAATGCACTTTGATTTTTTGAAAAGTGATACATGGAGCTGTTGAAATTTATAAGAAATAGAGCAGTTTTGTTTGCTCTTATTTCCTTGTATTTCCTTGTAGTACTTGTTCTCCTAAAGTTTCAGCATGGTATAGTGAAATTGAAACTGGTTTTACAGGACAGAAAAATAAATTGGCTTCACAACTCCCATAATTTTAATTAAGAGAACTGCCCAGATTGCAAAGAAGTCTGGTGAAGGTAAAAAAACCAACAAACTTCTAAATGAAGCTAATTCTGCTCACTTGAGGTTTAAAACCCYTGTCTAACATCTTAAGATCARGTTTATAAACACAATTTAGAAAATCTGTATCTCTGTGGGCTGTTTTTCAGATTTGATTGCTAATGGAAGGGGKTAGATCAGTACAACATGGGATGATTTCAATTTGCAACAGCAGCTCTTAATTTAAAAGRCTAGTCCAGGTTTTAAAAGGACAGACCTAGTGGAGAGCTACACTTAATGGCACCAAGAACTATTCTCTTTCTGTTCTCCCAGTGAAAAGACTGAGCAGAACCAGTTCTGTAAAAGTTTTTTTTTTTTTTCTCAAATTCGTTTTTAACCCAAATTTGCCCTGTCTTCCTGGGCTTTGGTCAGTTGGCCACAATGGCCCATTGCAGGATCTGTAGCTGCCCCCACTGCAGTGAATAGTGGTTTGCACAGTCCATGAAGCAATTTGGAATAAACCTAAAAGGTCCTAAACACAGGGATTGTCTGGCTTAACATATTTCCACTGACCTACTGGATTWAAGAGCTACCTGAGGGTGTGCTAATGACAAATGAGGGGTAAGAAAGGGATGTTTTTCCTTGCCAAATACTCAAAAACAGTACTGCAGTAGCTCCTCTGGAATGGCCAATTAATTAAATTTTTGAACAATGGTAATTATTATTCTTCTTTGAGCAGATATTTAGGACTCAAGACACATATACAATGAAAAYATTTAAATTATAGSASCATTTAGGGTCCTTTTAGGCAGAAGAAGCCCTTATGTGGGCATTTTCTCATGGGCTGACTCTCGACAGATCTTAARTTCACATATCAGCTTTTAGTTTATCAGCTTTTAGTAAAATTCTGGTYGAATCTGCTTATTTTGACACAATTTTTGGAAATTGCACTCCAAAGGGCTGCCAGATGGGGCTGAAGAGGCTGCAGAGCATCGTGGCTGGGAGCCCACGAGAAGTTTGAGAGCAATGTCCTCATCCAGGAGGGAGCAGAGCACGGGCCCGGCCCTGCCTGTCCTGGAAAATCCGGRCAGGAGAGGTGTTCCCCTCCGCCCCTTTCCGCCACCAGGGGGCGSCCGCCACTTCCCCGCCCCCCCAATAGGGGGCGCTGCCCGCGGCGCCCACACCGCCTCCACCAGTGGGGGGGCGGAGCGCTGCGATGAAAASTGCGCTGTGATTGGCGGAGATACCCCAGGCGGGGATGAGAGTGGGGCTCTGATTGGCCGCCAGCACCCGAAGGGGGGAGTAAAATCCCGGGCAGAGGACCCCCTCCCCCCGCTCCCCTCCCCGCAGATTGGGGTCCCCCCCCCAACCCCGACCCCCCTGACCTGGCCGTTCCGAGCTTTTCCTTGAGGAGTTCTATGCCCCGTCGTGGCTGGCGGAGGACTTTCAACCAATCAGCGCGCGACGCCGCGGCTTGTTGCCAGGCAGATTATGGTAATGAGGCCCGGGCGGCCGCCCCCCCTCCCGCTCTGCAGCTACCATTGTGAGGTGAGGACAGGTGGGGGGGTTCCGGGCCACCGCGGGGTCGGCGGCGGCGGCCGGGGCGCGGCGCCCGCACGGGACCCCCTCAGGTAACGCGATGGGACGGTCTGGGAGGGCAGAGCGGCCCGGGGTCGCCGCAGGGATCAGCCGGGGGTTTTGGACTTGTTGTTTTAGTCGCACCCAAGATGGCGCCCGAAGCTGGCGGTGCAGGGCCGGGATAAACCGTTCGGTCCCGCCAGTGGGGGGTGGGGGGGGGAAGCAGGGCGTACTCATTCCCCTTCATCCTCCAACCCCCGGGAGAGGTACAGTCCGCTCCCCCCGCTCCCCGCCCCGGCCAGGATCCCCCACCCGCCTCGGACAGGGGGAGAAGGTGCTACCCCCACCCTAGTTTCCCCCCTCCCTGTGTGGTACGGTCCGGACCCCGGCACCTCAGCGACGGGGGGATACACAAGCCATCTTTTTGTCCCCCCAGCACTGTGGGGGTCTCATTCCTTCACCATGACTCTGGGCCGCTCGCTCCGCGCACAGCTCAGCTATTCCGCCCTCGGCGACCGGCCTGGCCTGTCCCCTCCGCTCAGCCTTTACCATGGCGGCCCACCCGTGTCCCCCCCAGGCCCTCAGTGGTTGGGGCCGGCTAGCCGCCGGGCTCTCACGGGGGGCTGATGGCGCCGCAGCCCTCAGGCGGGGGCGGGGGGGCGCGGCGGCGCCTCGCGCTGGGGCGCGGCGGCGGGAAGCGGGCGGTGTGGGGGGGGCACTCACGCCTGCTGATTGGCCGCGTTCCTCGCGCCCTTGCATCCTATTGGCCTATTTAGGGGAGGGGGCGTCGTACCCCGTCTTCGGATTGGCTGTTGGTGGCCGTGGAGTTTATATAAGGGGGTGTGGATGGGGGCGCGACGTGTTCCTGGGGTCCCGTTTGTGTTAGGTTGTTAAGGCCCCGGGGGATTCCAGTGGGCCCTTTGGAAGCACAAGGCTCCTGGTTGAGTGGCCCTGAGGCTTGGGTTGGAGGGAAGTTAGTCCTTTACCCACAGCCCTGAGCTGGTTACATCCATGAGGGTCCCGGTATGAGTGGGTTTCTTTGCTCTCCTGACCCTGGTCTTGGTATCAAAAAACCTGTTCCTGTGGTTTTGGGTATGATTGTAGCAAGTGGCTGCTTGACCTTGTGGCTGTTTTGCTCCGTGGGTGTTGGTGTTGAGTTGTCCTGTCTCCCCTTCTGTGCCCCAGTTCCTTTAAAAGTGAGTTAATGTTGGTACATTAAATGGTTGATTGGAATGGAAGAATGAGGTCCTGGGACACTGCCTTTCAGAATTACTCATCCTAAAGGGATAAATCACGTTTTTAGGGTTATATCTCTGTACAAGAGCCGTTGCAGAGCCTCAGGAGGACTCTTACAGGGTCCCTAAAACAGAATTTAAACTTTGTKTAGGGTACTGACAGTAGTCATTGTCCTGACARTGAYACAAAGAGTCAGTATTTGTGATGCACTTTTTGGTAGCTTGACATCAACCTGTCTAGTGTGTCACTGTATATTTATATGTTTGTGGTTCTTACAGGCATTTAGAGAATGATCAAGCACAAAGCTGGGTATATCAAATGCATATCAATGTTTCCCTGTGAGTTTCAATGGGAATTGAGATTATACTGAACTTTTGCTTTCTGCTGTTAGGTTTTTAATAATTCAGGTGTTATTTTCTTGTAGTTCAGTTAGAAGATGAGGTGCCAATGAATCACCAACTGATTTTACAAGAGGATTCTGTGCATCTTTTGTGGACACAATAAAATAATTGGCATTCTTGAGCCTTCTAATGCCTTCATTTCTAGGAAAAGTAATGTGAGAGCATCTATTGCTCTAGTCTGTCCTTAAATTGCAAACTTATCTCTGAAATTGTGTTGGATTTTGGCACTTTGCTACATGGATTCTCCTCTTGTGTGAAACAAGACAGCTTCATTACCCTGTTTATAGGGTGAGATACTGGTGTAATTGTTATTAATATGATCTGATGGAATAATTGGCAAATTGATTTTAGAGAGAAACGTCTCTATGGTGTCACCTGTTCTCTGGCACCCTTAGTCCTACCCTGTGCCTAAAATCCCTGGATGAGCACTCTTGGGATAAATTGCTCTGCAGTGAGCAGCCACTTCAAGTGTGTTTCTAACCACCTGCAGCTGCTGGCAGCTGTGTACACTGAATTCTAATGGACTTCTAAGTGTAGCTCATTAAGGGGGCTGGTTTTGTATGGTGAATTTTGTTYGGACTTGAACATGAGATTTGGTCTATTTGTCACTTTTATCTCCCGGTAGTAAAACATGCAGTTGTAACGTAGCCCTGAAATCACTTTGTGTGTCAGTCTGCACCTGTTTGAAGGTGTAGGTAGTCCATTTGTTTTCTTGGGTAGTGCAGACCAGCAGCTATTYTGAAGAAGCCAGCTTAGATATGTGTTTTTATGTGTAGAAACAAAGTAGGTTTTTTGTTTTGGTTTGGTTTTTTTTTAATATATGTGATCTAATTCAGAGGAGAGGTGCACAGGGGTGGGAGAGGGGAGGGAGGAAGCAGACCACCCGCTTGTAGGTAGGGAAAGAATCCCCTCCAACTGATAATTTTTTTGGGGAAGAATTCACTGGAGGAGGAGAAGGGAKAGGAGATTAAGAAGTGGCAGGAGGAAGCTGGAGGGGAATGGTTTGTTTTCTTTCAGTAAACCCTAACAGTGCCTTTTTGAAGGTTGTGTGAGCAGAACTGTACCACACACTGATACAGACAGTATTTTATTTTTACTTTTTTGTCATTCTGTACATTAAATGTAAGSTTTYCCTGCTTCCTTGCTTTATCAGGCTTCTCCCTCTGTGATTTATAAACCAAATCCTTTAGGAAGGCAGGGTCACTGCCTCGAGCAGCTGTGTGATTCAACAGCCTGAGAACTGCAGTGTGTGATTCAACAGCAAAYGGGAAGAGAGGTAACTAAAGAAGAGAAAAGTATGTGGAAAATAATGAAATTGACTCTTTGCCCACTGAGAGAGGACAGACAGTGTGAGAAACATTCCATTATAGGAGAATTAGAACTCAACAGAAATGTCCTTGGAGCATCTATGAGTAGGCATCTMAACACGGCCTAGGTAGTCCCCAGGGGGATGTTTACTTGTGCTCAGGCTGGATTAACTCCTGTATTCTGTGCTAGAAATGACCTTTCAGTTATTTACTTGAGAAGTGAGAGAATAGTTACATCAGACTGTTCTGTCACCTTCAGTGCCTGGCATCCCTTCCCATCCCCTGGACCTGGTCCCTTTAGTAAAAGGACTGTAACATGTGATGGGCACAAGAGCAGAGGACTGGCCTTGAAGCTGAKAGATCTCTTCCAGCTTGTTGCTTTGATGATGGATGTGCCATAAGGATATGGGTATAGGTAGATTGATTATACACAATTGAAGTAAAGAGTTAGTTGGTGTTTGGCTGAGCTCTTCTATTTATTATACGACTAAATAAATKGAAGCCATTTTTCCTTTTGTGGAAATAAATAATCCTTGCTGTCCCAGCCCTAGTATGATCTCCATTTTTAGCTCTCCAGTAAAACATAAATATTGTGGGTTTACATTACCTGATTGTTAACATTCACGCAAAATGCACCAGAGCYAGAGTTCCTTGAAATGGCACATGGCTGTAATGGATGGGAATGCAGGGGAGGTGATGGCAGTCCTGACTCAGTCCTCAATGAGCTTAGAAACCTGCTTGCTGTGGTGAAAGCATTTTCCTGCTAGAGGATCTCAGCTGGCTCTGTYTTCTAGACAAACTGGGATAATTAACGTAAATGTGGGATAAAGCTTTTTGCAGACCCGTGTGATGTTCCTTTTGAGCATAATAAATCATTCTCATATTAAAAGCTGGAGGAAGACCCAGAGTTGTAAAACCCCTTTTGTATCAATCTTTCTGCACTTGCACATGGCTGTGGTGACRCAGAGCTGTCAATGAGCTCAGTTGTGGGAGGATTAAGCCAATAATCCCTACTGTTGTTGCAGGGAACCTGAGGCTATGGCAAGGCTCTTTTACATTGGGGAGTAAATCACATTAGCTGCTTTATATGCCATTGTTTTAAAGTGGGTTCTCTTTTGAGGTACTGCAGTAGTTTTRTGCCTCCCTTAGCAGGGAGGTGGACTTTTCCCCTTGCTCAGCTTTGATGTTCCCCCCTTCTCATCCAAGAGAACGGGACAGAAATGAGCATTAGGCAGCCAGTGGCTTGGATTTTTCAGCAGAATGCTCTTAGTAAGCCTTGCAGAGGTTGCTGCAGATGAAGTCCTCAGAGCTTCTTGTGTAGYTGCAGCATTGAAAGAAATTATCATTAAATAATAGCAGGAATGCCAAGAAAATATAGTAATTGTTGATTTTTTTTTTTTGGTGGCGGTTTTCTCTTACTTTCAGAGCTKTCCTTTGAAGCCCTAGGTGAGTTCACTGGGTTTAACTTGTGTTGAAAACACTTGGGCACCAAACACAAACCATCAGTGACTGTTGTTAGTGGTTTTCCTCTTACAGTACCATTCACTCCTGAGTGTTTGCAGGGAGGTCATGGATACACCCATAAGGGGCCACATGTGGAGCTATGGTGGCTCAGGGTGTCTGATGCTGAGGCAGCAAAGTTAACAAGGACATTGCTGTTGGATAGGGAGTGCAGTGCTTTGCCCCTCTTAGCAGTGATTTTCCATCCCTTGGACCTGAATGCAGTGCATGGGGAAGCTGCTGATTTATTAACACAGCTCCAGAGAAAACGTCATTTCRCATCAAGAGGAGGGAGGGATTGGGRAGTGTCGCAGAGGTCAAAAGGAGGTTTTAAGCAAGATTTCAAGAAAAAATTAAGAACTGCCASACAATGGCACCGAGGTGTTTTCCAGGCATCAGGAACAGCAGAGAAGTTTTGTCATTAATGACATTTTATGGATTGGATGTAAAATGCAAAAACTAAAGAGAACAGGTTGTAGATCTGTGCCAGCAGCAGGTCTCAGAAGGTGTTGAGAAAAGGAAGGTAAATGTGAATGGTGTTCTGAGATAAACCTTTGTTGTCTTGAAAGGATGGTTAATTTATTTGCAAACCTCAGAATGAGCTAATGTTCCACTAGAGGTGATTTTCAAAGTCGCGGGAGCTGTGCTGGTTCATGGATCACGTTTTGTCATGATTCACACAATATATAGTGACACACAGGACTGTCACTGCCTCACCACTGCTATACTGGAGTGATACTGCACTATAYTGGTACTCTTTAGTTATGCCTGTTACTGTTTCAGCTTGTGTCATCACCCAGCAAGGACCGGGTGAGGRATGCCTGTTATTTGGGGAGGAAAATGCTGTCTCTGCAGTTACTGTAAATGCTTAAACATCTCTGGCATTGCTTCTTCTCCCGTGTGTAATGCTCATTGGGTTGTATGAAAGCATTGGGGTGCTGGCAGAATTTTAGGTGACTGTTGGGTGGTGGTCTCATAATTGACTAATCTTTCAAATTCCAGAAAAGTAAAATTCCATCATCTTCAAGTTACTGAAGTACTTGCTAAGAGCATACAAAAAAAGATGGAGTATCAAATAATATTTGAGCTAGACCTCTTATATTTTATAGTGGCGAGAATATAGTTTTGACATACATAACACGTAAATTTAACATGAGTTTAAGCAAGCTGTTTGGATTACTGTTTTGCTAACCTCTACATGGATTTTCATTACAAAATGTAGCCTAATTTCTTCATACTGGAAAAAAACTGAGCATATCCTATCACGTCTCCTTTTATCTTTAATTATCTTTTCTTTTAGGATTTCTGCAATTGAGTTTCAATTTCTGTTACAGAGGTTCGTATGGCAATCCCTTGCACATAGCAGAGGGATTCCCATTGAGGTGCATGTCTTGATGTTTATTTAGCTTGTCTCAAATGTGCTCAATAGGGTGAGAAAAAACAACAGTTGCAAAGGATAATCCATGGGCAAACAGTGTGGAGAGCAAGCAGAGAGTGTTTCCTGCATGCCAGTGGTTTGGCAATGCTTATGTCCAAAGTTTCTCATTTTTTTCCTGCTAAACTACCAAAGCTGAGAGAAGATCACAGGGAAATGGTTAAAATTTTGAGACAGTATCAGGGCAGTAATGGGTATTGAGAGCAGGATCTAGAAAAGGAAATAAGATTGTGCAGGATTAATGAGGAGGAGCATCCTGTGGAGGACCAGTGAGTAAAGTCTGATCATTTTGTCATCAGTATTGGAAATCTTTTGCAGGTGTTGGTGTTTCCTGGCAGTTCTGTTGTCAGTGACTTTGGATCAGATCATGTTTTCCAGGTCCTGGCCTTGACTGCAGGGCTTGTTTCACCTCTGAGTTTCACTTGCTCCTGCCTCCTGCCCCCTTCATTGCRCATCCCTGGGACCTCTCTGGGACACAGCCTGTCTCCTCCTGCACTGACTTCCTGCTCAGCACATCCATGTTTYCAGGGAAATGTGCTTTTCAGCGTGTTTTCATGATTACAGATGAACTGAGGGAATGCATACCAGAGGCAGATCCTAGGATGAATTTGGAAATACAGAAGWTGAAAGCATCAGCAAATCCTGCAGCTCCTACTATTGTCCCTTATTGTTGCTCAGTTGGCTGGGCTGAGCTGTTTATTACTTTCATTTCTGTCAAAAATAACAATAACAGGACTGTTTATAGAATCTGCAGCACTGGGCCACCAAATTTGGCTCAGCCTTGCTTTTTTTCCCCCCAAGATTTTAAATTAGTGCTAACTTTCAGAACCATGAAATGACTGTCTTCTGCTTTCCTTTCCATCCTTTTGGTATTTTTTTTTCAGAGATGAATCTTAATACCCAGTTTTGTCTGTTAAAGATCCTGCCTGAACCCTTCAGTCTCTYTTGTACTCAAGTTGTAAGTTATCTGTGCCAAAATGACTCTGCAGGAGTGAGTCAGCATCTCCCTTCAGACCTTCAGTGTCTGATGGCGGGGAAGGTCAGCCAAAAATTCTGCTACTTGTTGCAGCATGTGGAGTTAGCCAGAACTGTGCCTTTCCCTTAATTCAGTTAGTAGTCAATGTAACAGCATTCTTTTTAACAGGTAATTATATTTCTTTTTAAATYAAACCATCCAAAATTGAAGCCTCTAGTGTTTATTTTTCTAAGCAGYTAGGTAATTAATTAAACTACTGGCTATTGTTACTGCAGTTATCTGAATTGGCTCTCGATTACTACTAGCAGTCTAGGAAAAGAGCTGTTGGGGATAAACCAGCTGAAGAGTATCAACAGGATAGGTGATAAATTTTGCGAAGAAGTTGTTCACAGTGTCTTACTGACATAAATGCTGTCACATTTCACATGGGTAGAGGTGATCCTATACCTGATATATATATATTTGCAAATAGTGGTGATCACATACCTGATAAAATGAGTGAAGGAGGTCAGTGAATGAGATACGATTAGGTATGAGAAAACCCCTAATTTAATCCTCAAGAACATTACGAATAGCTCGGTGAAAGGTTCTGTGTAGGGATGGATGGTATTTATTTATAGATCAGAGCTTGTGTGCACTTGGATATATAAATAAACAATATTTATCTGTAAATTGCCCTGACTTCCCACACTTGGAGAGCAAGGCTGGTGTTTATCACTCCTGAATGTTTGCTGTAGTTCATTTATTCATACTAAGGAGATTTGAGCTCAAGCATTGAACACTGGTGTGTGGGTTTAGTTTTAATTTTTCTTAGTGCTTTTTGGGGATGTTTGGTATCAAGCAGTATTAGTGGAGATGAGATTTCTGTCCCTGTATTCCCATAACTGGAGGTGTTTGGATATAAGAGAAAGTCAGAACAGTTCCTCAGTGTTTGCATTCGTGGGGCCCACATGTGCTGGGTTGCTCAGTGTTAACTCAAGTCACCAGTAACAGCATGGCTTGGYGTCTAGCGATGCCCAGATATATCTTTCCCATTGTTTTTCTTTGTCTGTATGTAAGTAATATTATTTTTTTGCTCCACCATGCAGTTCAGTGACGATAGCCTGAGACTTCCCTGCCCTGGTGATTTATCCATGCTGGCCAGAGCTGGTGGAACAGTCAATGCTCAGATCTGCACAGCTTAGTCCTTGCTGGGAAAATTAGGAGAAGACAGAAAGTGCCTGCTCCTTTTTTTACTACTCCTTATCTATTTTTCAGTTTGTCAATGACAAGCCAAATGCTACTATTTATAAGGATAAATTATGACTAAAATAATTTGTATTTTAAATGCAAATGAATGAAAGCATCATCAAGGAGCCTTCTGCTTCATTCCTGGTGCACAGACGGGTACTGGCATTGGATCAGCCCAGCAAAGCACTGGATATGAAATAAAGTTAATTGGAGTAGCTGAGAAATTAAATGGGCTCAGCCTCATGCTAATTCCTAGCCTGTGATTTAATATGACATTAGAGACGAAGGATTGGGAAAGTGTTGAATCACCAACTAAACCAATCACCAGAGCTGTAAATTACCCTTCTGGAATCCCAGCAGCAGATTGAGAGGCCCCAGTAAAATTKCAAGATGTGAATAAAACCAAGCTTGGAAGCAGTTTGTCAGTCTCTTTGAGAGTTTAAGTTTCATTATTTCTTTTTAGTAGTTGGTTGTTCTAACCCTGCCTTGTACTGCCTGGGACTGGGGTTTTGTCCAAGGTCAGATCTGTCTGTACATGGAAAACCCGTTGGTGCTCAAACAAAACCTCATTCAGGCAAACTGAGGAACTGGTGATGCATTCTGAATGTAGTGTTTTCTTGGTGGAAGCCTCAGGTCCACATTTTGCATTATTTATTGATTTCTAGGCCTGTAGGTACCAAAAGGACAATGAGAAGGTTGCATGGATGGCCTGTGACCAAGGAAAGACATGCAGAAAGAATTGGGTCTAATCATTCAGTGTAATTGGTGTGCAGTGGTTGACTTGTTTCCTCCTCAATGGGACATARAAAGTGGTGTACAGCAGGACTTGGGCATGTTCAATGAGATAAGATTTCTGTTCTTTTATTCCCATAATTTAAGGTGTTTGGGTCTTGTAGGAAGTAAAGCCAAACCTGCTTTACTCTCTGTTACGGAAGTGTGGTAGCTGATGATAATAAATCCCTCATAGCTCCATGCTGTTTGTTACGCTGTTTTTAATGTCTCTGTTCTCTGTTTTTTTACAGCCATGTTGCTGAAGATCACCTTGTCTCCTGGAAGCAGAAACACAGTGAACAGATGAATCCCTTCAGCTAGGCATTCCTCCAGTAGATCTCTCTCCTCATGGAGCACCCAGACAGGGAGGAGATGGACTTGAAAGAGGAAAGTCCTCAGGTGTGGGCTGAATCTGCAGCACGGGAACAGAATGCTGCTCAGGTGATTAGTGCCCTCCAGAGCTCTGCCTCTGCTCAAGCTGCATTGGGATTGGTGGGGAGGGTTAGTTCCCATTTGGTCCTGACTAGAAGCTCAGCTTTCACTTGAGCAGAAATACAAACATTTCTGTGTGATTTTGGGTTAAAGCTTCAGAAACTGAGCTGTGCAAACTGCACAGTGARGATACAGAGCTCTGAAATGAGCTGAACAAAACCAGGCAGTGCCTGTAGAGGTTTCAGTGTCCAAATATATTTATAACCATGTGGATGAATGAAAGGGTGTTCAGARTAATGAACATGATTAAAATCTGTGCTCTGTGGCAGCCCCATTTGATGGCATCATTCRAATCAGTTGGAACTGTGGGAGGACCTTGGGGAAAGTAATATGAATAATCTTTTCCAGCCAGATACCTGGTCAGTGAAGAAGGGAGAAATGYTAATTGTAAGTGACTAATGCAGTCAGGTTCTGCTATAAGCAGCTTGTCCCTCTGCCTCTGACAATGCAGCTGGGAATTTCTAGAATTCTGTAAATTGATTTATTCTTTTAAGTATGTTAGGAAAAATGGTGCTGCATGTTATTTGACCTACAAGCTGAGAAATTCTGTCTCTCTTAGTAATTTCCAGCTTTGAAATTTGCCAAGAAAGGCAATTTTCAATGGTTTGTGTTTAGTTCTCTCTCCAGTGGGATAACCACGTTGCTGTTTTGCACATGGGAGTTTTAAGGCTTAATAAGTATTTGCAGAGCACTCTCCAAATGTTAAACTGTAGTGCCTGTGTGAGGATTTATTGTACAGAATCAGCACGAAGCATCCATGGAGAAGTACCAGGTGTCTTCTGAAGCATAAGCTAAAAAGTGAAACAAAATAAATAAAATGCGTAACTGTGGCGTAATTTTCTGTGAAAGAATTTTATGTAAATATGAATACTTATACTCAAACTAGATTTCCTGCTAACTGCCCTGTTTTTCCCATACACTGAAAATGCATATAAAGGATGGCAAAAACTAAACATGTTCAAATTTTCACTGGAATTCAGYTCATTCAACATGGGCCATTGATGATCAGTTATGATCATAATGTTCTGGTAAAATAGACTTGTTTAGCGTTAAAATGCTGCCCTTGTTTCAGTAGTCCTTGGAATCATTGCTTAATGTTTTCAGTTATATGTTTGTCTGTTTAAATAGTTGAATTTTCTACTGATGGCTGCACATACATACTACAGAGAAGCAATCTAATATGCCCTACTGCTCCTTCTGAGAGGTGCAATACTGTAACTTGAGGAGTGTCAGAGTTAGTAAGTTCTGTTTAGCCTTTCATCAGACAGCAAAAATGACCTCCAACTACAGAACCAGCTGAATGAAGTCGTTATCRTAAATCCTGAAAGGAATATGAGCATAAAGGGAAACAATATCCCAATAAATTTAATAGATACATCAGTTCAGATATGAACTTGTTCTCTTACAAATTTTCAATGTATTCTGCAAGAACTAAGTATGAATGGGGTGGGTTGCCCTTTGTAGCAGTTGTGTATTGAGTTGCAATGGAGAGTAAAACCAGAGACTGATGGGAGTTGTGTCCAGGTTTCTATTGGTAGAATAATTGGATGAGATTTGAAATGTGTGTTTTTCACTGCATTCAGATTCGTTGGGACACAAGTTCTCTATGCTTTCCAAGGCACCCTGTGACTCTGGTGCTATGTCCCATGGCCTGACTGTGTTCCTGTGAGTCCAGGATCTGTTTGTTCCTCAGGTGCACTTTGTTCCTGAGGGCGGAGCAGTGGCCCAGATCGTCTACAGCGACGAGCAGGAGCGTGGGCCCGCGCAGCAGGTGGTTTACACAGCTGAYGGCACCTCCTACACCTCTGTGGACACCTCGGAGCACACCCTCGTTTACATCCACCCCGTGGAAGCTACACAGGCACGTGTGGTTCTGAGCACACCCTGCTTTTGGCACCTAGAAAACACCACAATCTTGTATGGGATGAAAGCCAGTTACCAGCCAAGTGGTATGACTGGAAAATAGCAGGCAGTCACTCCCTACAGTTTTCTAAGAGCCATCTATGTTCCTTCTGGAAAAGTCCTTGTTTTGTGTAGTACAGGTGTCATAATTGACTTTAAGACTTTAACAGTCATATCTTTTTGCAGAGCATCTCTGTTTCTTCAATGTAATTTTGTAGTCTCTGTAGAGTTGTTGATTTTATAGACCTTTTATATTAATTTTCTTCTGCRTAATTATATCCGATAGCCTTTATTCCCTTGCAGCACGTTTATATGGGGTCAATATGCTAGGCATCTCTCCCTCTGTGTGGTCAGATTAAAAAGGAACAAGCTCACTTTGTCAAGAGTGTTTAATAATGTCTTTGCTGACAGAGCAGATTAGCTGTGCTGCAGAGTGCACATACCTGACACCCCTGCCACACTGGCAGAGCCTCTGTGGCACAGTCTGTGTTGYGCAGCTCTCAGTGTCCCAGAAAACCAGCTTCTATGTGGAGGGATGTCCTGAGAGGATATTTTGAGAGGATGTCTCCCTGGCCAACTAACTTCAAAACTCTGAATGCTGTCATTGTGTCAAAAGATGTGTAGGATTCAGACATCCTTCTGCATCTAAGATGAAATTATCCCAGCACTAAAGGAATTTGTATTCTGTCATGCTTATTATGTTGGACTCAGGCTGCTACAAGCTCAGATATTTCAAGTTTTGGCTAAGTAAGGCTGGCCTCAGTCAATCCTTAGGCTTCTGTCAGGGCTGTTCTTGCAGAATATTGGAGTTGGCATGGCTTCTATGAAATTAAACAGCATCCTGGCTGTATCAAAGTCCCATGTAGGATTTGCCTGATAGTTCCTCAAAAGAAAGCATGCAGAAGTCTTGTGAAATTTCAGGAAGAAAAAGCTCACAGTTACTTCTATCCTGCTCTTGAGTGTTACACAGTTTTAGTGGAACTACTGAATTTCATCCTGTAGATTTTACCAAATCAACCATTGACAAAGTGATTTGGGTAATAGAAAAAAATGAAGTATGTGAAACACTTTAGCTGTACAGATGCAAAGTGYCACATAAATATAACATTAACTCTTTATGGAACATAACCTAATTTTTCATTTCTGTGTGTGTTGGTCCACTTGGGTAAGTTGAAGTAATTTGCTGTGATAACAGGCAGGTTAGAAGCTGACAAAGGCTCAAATGTGGGTTGTTTCAGGGTGGCAGGGTAACTTGTGCATGAGTTGGGTGTAAAAAAACCCAGGGCTGGTTTGATAAGCCTTTTTCACTTTGTCTAGACTCTGTTTACAGATCCGTCCCAAGTGGCTTATGTCCAACAGGATGCCACCACYCAGCAGGTAAGGAAGAGATATTAATCTTGGGCCTAAAACTATGAGAGAATAGTCAAGGAAGGTAAAGGGTGTGAGAACATGTGGTGTGAGAGAGTAATGAACTGCCTCTGAAGTTGTCCAGTGACAATCATATCTGTGCTGTCATCTTGATCACTACTAAAAAGCCACTATTACCAGGACCAGCCTGTGCATCAGTGACAGTAAAAATTAAGAATGATTTGGGGTACTCTCTTTAATTCATATTCAACAAGAATTCTGATTTGCTGTCCCAGATAGCATGAAAAATCTTTCAACAGTGTCCCTGCAGCTGATGTGGCTGATGTCATCTGAATGCCATTTTGGAAAAGCTGGGTATGCAGCTGGCCTTTGTACAGGTTCTGATCCCAATGCCTTTAAGTCCACWAAAGACTCTTGAGGGATGGAAAAATTGCATTAAATTCTAGGTTTACTAGAAACCTCACAGGAAGTTAAGTGCAAAATCTGAAAAAGTTCAGTGTCTGGTTCCCTTATCAGGTATGCTGGGCTTGCCAGTGTGAGAGAATAAAACTGCAGCCTGTGTTTGTAAAGTTATGATGATTTTTTCTTATTCTTTTGACATCYAGCATGGATGGGGAAGTTTTGTTGTTAACTCTTACTGGTATCTTTGGGGACTGCAGTATGGTAATCAGGTGTAGAAGGTGCTTTCAGATCTGTCTAGCTGGAATTCTCTGCTTGTTATAGACTTAAAATTGTCATTGCTTGGTGGGTCTTTAATGACATGTGTGAATTGATGTGTTAGATCCCAATCCTCACCAAAGCCATTAAAATGTGTTTTTATTGGCAGTCTTGGGGCAGAGTGAGGGGTTGAATGTGTGCTGAAAACAAATTTTCTTGCTAAAAGGCCTTCTAAATGGTTGAGGTGCAGACCGGAAGTAATGACTGATGCAATAAGGGTGTTACCTGTMTTCTCATTCTCTGGAGTGTTGTTCCAAAATTTTTTTGCTCCATCAATTTCTCTGCATTGAGAAGCCAGAAATTCCTATTTGCTTGTCTTAAAGCTCATTTAACAAGTATATGATTAATTAGAAATAGAGATTACTTACGTGCAGTGCAGATGGCAGTGACAATAGAGATGATCTGCTGTTATTGTCCCAGAAGCACTTACCTGTGTGTTCTAAGCCTGTCCTCCATTCCAGCACTGTCTGATAGCAGTCCTAACACATATATTAATTTTTTTGGTGAATGATTAATCCCTCATTATAGCAACTCCTGAGTTTGCAGCTGTTTGTACGTCAGCATTTCATGTGGGACATCCCTGAGCTGACAACTAATGATAAAATAATAATGAAAGCTCCTCTTGTCTTTCAGAAGAAACTTTATTGTAGAAAATGAGGGGTTTATAAAAATAATGCCTGTAGTCCGTGCAGTGTTTAACATGAAAGTGGAAATAAGGGTATGTTTGGTGTGATTAGTAGTAGGCAGTGCTAACAGTTGGTACAAATGGATCCAAGCCTGTGTGACCTTCTCCTTGCTGGCACATTAGAGGAATAATGATGTCTTTTCTCTTGCCACTTGGCGTCAGAAATGTCAATACCAGACTGGCGTGGTGGTTTCCTCCTCACTCTGACAGCAATCTCTAAGGTCTTTTTGCTGTTGTTTTTCAGGACTTTTGTAAATTACTCTTAATACCTCTTTAAACAAAGCAACTAGTTTGGAGTTCTGAGTGCTTACATTAGGGACTTKGTTGTCTCCTCTGTCACTACTGGCCCAAATCACTGTTCTCAGTTTTATCTGATATTTATTAAGCACTCTGCCGTGAGGCAAGAGCTTGGATTTTAGCATAAAAGATGCTTTTGCAGTCAGAGGCACAAACTAAAAGCCACATGATGTCAGCTGTAGAGAAGGACAAAAAATCATGCGGAATAATGGTGCGAATTCGTGTATAGATAAGCAGGAAACAAAAGACAGGAAAGGTGATTCCTAAGGTCTTAGCTGTGCTTTGCTTTWTTGCTGAATGGATGAGAACAGTGTGGTAATATGCATTAATTTGGTTGTTACTACACAAAAAAATGAATATGTAAACAAAATGTGTAATGTRACCAAATGGTAAGAAAAATAATTGTTGGGATCCTCTTGTTTGAGAGCTTGATCTTCTAATGAGGTCAATRTACCACCTTGTTCTTTTAATGGATCCTGTATCATAGAACTGCAGAATCATTTGGATTGGAAGGGATTGGACGTAGTTCCAACTGCTCGGCCATGGCCAGGGTTTGCTTGAGAAAAAGAAAGATAGTGAAAAAAACAAAGGTTCTGTCCAAGTCTGTCATCCCTACTTGAACCCCAAAAATCATGGGAATTCTGCCGTTTTTGAGCAAGTGCAGGGCTCAAGGGAGCTGTGCATGCYGGGCCTGCCCATGTGTAAGTGACACAAGTGATGGAAATGCTGCAGTGCTAAAATGAGTGCCTGTGATTTTAGGTAACGGTGCTCTTGCCTGCTGCTGCTCAGAGCATGAATCCCACCAACCTGTCCGTGCTCGGCAGTGTTGCTGACCCCCCCCAGCCAGTGGCTCTGGAGCAGGGGCCACAAGCAGATAGAGTAAGTTGCCAGGCACCCTTTCCTTTTCCATGTACGAGTGCACAGATTCCATTGCTCCATCGTCTCCGGGGGTGAAATGTGGCTGAGTGATCCGGGAGGAGATGTGAGAAAGCTGTAGTCCAGATTTGTACTGTCTTCCATAGTCTTGCCATGGAATGTATGGAGGTTTAGGAGAGATCATGTGTTTAATATACAGAGAAACCTGTTTTACAGATGATTCTGTTTTGAGCAGCCACCTTAAAAATCTCTCAGTGCTGAAAAGTGAAGTTAACAGAAGGTGTAGTGCTGACTGTCACAGCATCATCCACCTGTTCTCCTCATCAGTGTTTTCAGGCAGCTCTGCTGGGTGTAATATTTCTTGTTCTCTACCTGAGAAATCTGTGTGGGTGATGGAATGTGCAGCACACTTAGTTGTTGTGGATTGAAAGGGCTAAACTTGAAAATTAGTGGAAGAATGCAATGCCCTCAACTGTCCTTCATGTCCATAGTTTATATCTAGTCTCCATGTTACCTCACCCCTTATTTGCCATTACCTTTGTATTCTGGGGATTGATTTTGTTAGATTGTAAAGAAAAGATCATGTGACAAAGTGCAGGATTCCCTCACTTGTACAAAAGAAGCTAAAATACAGCTTTAGGCTCTAGGTAATATCCACAGAGCCTGGATTTTGTTTCAAATCTTCTGCAAGGGTCCTGAACTTCCTGATTTCAGTTTCTTCTGTGAACTGAGTCCTTGGCAGGGTGGAGCCAGGGAGTGCTACTGGTGTCCTGAGTGAGGCCATGAGCGGCAAATAATCACTTGGCAGTCATTTATCACCTTCCCTTGTCCTCCTCCCCTTACCAGAGGCAGCAGGAAGGGTAGATTATCTAGGACCTTCATTGCTTTGTGGTTTTSTTCCTGAATCAGCTTGAATTGTCTGTGAATTCTCTCCTCAGGCATCACTCCCGGTGCATAACCAGGTATTACCTCCTATGGAGGCTGTGGATGGTTCTGACCCTTTAGCACCTCTGCAGAATCAAATGGAAAGGATACAAACAAAAGAGGAAGATGATGAGGATGAAGATGAGGATGAAGATGGGGAAGACACTGACATGGATGAATGGGATCCAGATCCACCTCGACCCTTTGATCCCAATGATTTGTGTAAGCATGCACAGTAATATGCAGTGTATTACCTGCCCTCCCCTTTTTTATTCCCTCTCCATCAGCCCTTTAGTAAAGAAAGGCAAAATCCATTCATATTTTAGCAGTAATGAGTAAACCCCTTTATTCCTAGAAATGTGGATTAAACCAGGCTGCTCTACTGCARAGACAAAATTAATTCTGTCTTAAGTCTCTGAGCTGCTTTCTTCTTATTTCTCTGGATGCTGCCCTGTCTGATATTTTAAAATGTAGATAGACTTTTGGCATAAGTGTTCCCACAGTTGAGCCAGATGTCTAGAGAGATATAAAACTGTCTCTGAGCCAGTGTGTGAATGCCTGCCTGAAAGTCACTCCTCTCTGTCTTTGTGTTACAGGGTGTGAAGAGTGTAACAACGCACATCCCTCAGTGTGTCCAAAACATGGACCTTTGCATCCCATTCCAAACCGGCCTGTGCTGACCAGGGCTAGGGCCAGCCTTCCCCTGGTGCTCTATATTGACAGGTTTTTGGGAGGTGTGTTCTCAAAACGGCGTATCCCAAAGCGTACACAGTTTGGGCCTGTGGAAGGACCCCTGGTCAGACAGACTGAGCTCAAAGACTGCTATATCCATTTGAAGGTAAGGGTGAGAAAAAGGGGGRAGCAATTTGTGCCTAAGCTTTGATTTTCATGAATTTGTCACTCTACCTTGATCGAGTAACTGGAGATCTTTTGGCACCTCAGTCTCTGAACRTAACTAAGAAGTACCTAGATTGCTTTGGCTTCAAACCTGCTCTGTTATTCAGGGAGACACACTAATCCTGGGGAATGTTCTGGCATTATGAAGTTATAGAGTGCATAATGTGGAAGACTGTGAATCACTGTCACATGAGCTGAAGCAGCATCTGGACATAAAATTAGCAGCCTCATCTGAGGATGTTCTTCAGCCATTCTTTTGTGTCATGTTGTAATCTCAGTTCAAAATATTTTTCTTACCTTTCTGGTCATTAGATGTAGGGGAGAGGAGATATTTTTATTCCCTTCCTCTTGCCAAGTAATAGGCATGGGGTAAAATTACTTTTATCCATGTGTTTACTCATTTCACTATAAAAATTGGTCCTTTATTTGTTGGAGTTTAGATCCACAGTCTTAGGAGTGCTCTGATAGTGTCTGACAAGCAAATTGTGACCATAGGCAACCCAAGAGAAGTTTAGCTAAAGAAGTGCTGATTCCTCCTTGAGGCAATGTCACAAGTCAAGAAATTAAAGGAAAAGTGGGTCKCCCAGTTTAGAAACTTCTGACTGATGTCTGTAGCCTATTAAAGCTACAACTACTTGTGTAAAATTTATTATAGCCATGTGTACATACTKTGCCTGACCCCTTTAATGAATGATTCTTGTCCCCAACAGTCTTGGAAGGATCCATTGTGTCTTGCTAGTTAAATCTTTACCCATTGCTAAATATTTTTCTGCCTGTTTCTACATACGTGTTAATAAAGAGAGAAAATTACCTGCCTTCACTGCTCACTTAATATAACAGTTGCATGGGCACAGTAGTTTTCTTAGTAACTCAAATTCTTTTGAATGTGCTGCCAGACAGTTACAGTCACATGTAATTGGATTTTGCTGCAGGTTTCTCTTGATAAGGGTGACAGAAAAGACAGAGACTTGCAAGAGGACCTGTGGTTTGAACTTTCCAGTGAGGCTCTGTGTAACTGGATGATGTTTGTGCGTCCAGCTCAAAACCATCTGGAGCAGAACTTGGTGGCCTATCAGTACGGCCACCACATTTATTACACCACCATTAAAAACGTGGAGCCCAAGCAGGAACTCAAGGTATGGAATTGCTCATGTGTCAGAATTCTTTTTTTCAACTGATTAAATTGTGCTTTAAAAGTTGCTGTCCAATAAGTGCCAGAAACTACTGTTGTGAATAGTTTTAGGGCTTTTTTTTTTCTCTGAATTGAATGTCATTGAAGTCAGTAAGTAGTTACCAACATAGGGATTTTAATGAGCCTTGGCTCATGAGGAAGTTTTATTTTAAACTACATAAATTGTCTCTCCCTGTCATGCTTTACACAGCATATATTTTGCTGATACAATCTATTTGTATTGCAGCAATCTTTTTTGTCATTCTGGATGTCCTTTCCAGTTAGCCCTGTGTGTTCCTGACTTGTTTTCTGCTGCCTTAAATGAATATGGTCTCTCCCTTTACCTGGCTTTCCTGGAGCTCAGGAAACTTTGTATGTGATAAATGATTAAGGATATTGTGACTTTTCTGTGGTTTGCTTTTTGTTCYCTCTGAAAATTTATTGATTATGTTGAGCTCCAAGCAGCATGGCTGGGTGAGATGGCCTTAATTTGAACATTTTTGAGGCGTTGGGGGAACCAAAAAATTTTGATACCAGGAAAYTTTGTTGTTCTTCAAGTCTCTTCTTGCATATGGTTTTCAACAATTTATCTGGAGAAACAGTTGTTTAGTAGTACTTGTACTAAATCAGGGCAAAAGCCTAGTTATACCCTTGAGGAGTAGGAATATCTAAAATCAGTCCTTAATTATTTACGCTGAATTACTAGAAATCTTATGAATCCATTTTAGGTGTATTCAAACATTTTCTCAACAGTTTTAAAAACAATTTGAAATCAAACTTAAGATCTGTACAGATCTCCATGTGGAAGCATAATTTTTCTTACTTTGTGTTAGTAGTGTCTTGCAGGGTAAAATGGTTTGCCAATTGAAGGGCTTGTTAACGTGATTTCCTTCCCCAAGTGGATGTAGGGAGTTTGTGCAAATTTTGTCCAGAGAWTTAACTAGGAGGAGCAGGGAGTTGAAGCTGGGAAGTTCTGATTTGCTTGCCAGGTATGTGTAGGGGGGTGTTAACAGCCTGCATGGGAGAAAAACACCACGTCCTTGGGTGCCTTTGAGAATACTGGAAAGGTRCTAACCATGAACAGCCATTTTCAATAATGCTTATAGTTACCATGAGCTATCCTCAAAACTAAATGATGTAAATCGCTAGAGCTCCATGTTGCTGCTATTTAATTTACAACTCAGTGGTTTGCTTACATACAGGAAAAAAAAGAAAGAAAAGGAAAAAAGAAAAAAAAAAGAGAAAAAAGAAGCTTGCATATTGCTCATTGATGTTTACCTACTGTGACAGATTTTCAGTTGCKTTATTGTAACAGTGAAGTCAATGACTTAAAATCAGCTGAACCTGAAACTCTTAAAGTAACCCCTTTATTCTGAGACAGGCCTCTTTTATCCACTTTAGCAACCAGTGCATACATTTGTGTCATACATACATTGGTTAAGAGACAACTGTTTAATTACTCATAAGTATGTGATTGGTCAGTTTGCAAGAGCTTGATGTTTACATTTGTCAACCACCTGCATTATCAATTCTACATTCCAATCTGTTTTCTCAAAGGCAGCCAAGGAAGTGGTGTTTTTCTCCTATGCAGGCTGTTAACACTCCCCTACACAGAAATATTTTAAATTAGTCTCTGTGGATGTGCTGCCCATGGTCTATGTAAGGAGAGCAGGAAAGAAGTGGGAAATCCCCCATGTTAATAACATTTCCATTCCTCTTGGTGCAARTATCAGTACTCGGCTGACATTCTTCCTTTGCAGTCATGCAGTTGGGTTTGAAGAGATTGTTGCCTTGAAAGGCCAGATTTTAATAAAGACACAGACACGTTTAAGGGGATAAAAAGGGTTTTACCTCGGTATTTGGGATCCCAGGTGCACAACTTGATGGCAGAATGCACCCCCGTGTATAGCACGGATACAAATTTTATAGATTTCAGGAATTAGCATATATATCTAGGATTCCCCAATAAGAAACTTAACAAATGCAGTAATGTCCCCCTATTCTAATGAATCCCCCTTCAGAGAGAAGGCTTCACCCAAGGCTGGGACCTCAAGTTTAAGACAGCACAGGGCACACTGATCCCTTCCTCAGGATGTTTGGTCTCTCTCACCAGCAGAACTCCTAAACTAAGCTGGAATATCAGGCTACAGGAATTATAAACATGTGGGCCAGGGGGTACAAGGGATACATAAAAGGTAAAGAAAATGTATAAAAGGATATAAAAGTATTAAAAAGGTACATGAAAGGAAAGGCAAAACTCATCAGGCATCATTCCCCCCCTTTTTAGAGACTAACAAGACTCCACCTTGTCTAGTCTCCACATTACATTGACTACAACTACAACTATCAGAGATACTTCTTTTACTCTGGCCCAGTCTGGTAAGCATGAAAAATATGGTTGAACATTAAGGTGGTAATTTTGGAAACTACTTCATTTAGAATTTGAGTCCCTTCCCAATTTTTATACCAATCAATGGCCCGTTACCATCCCCCTCTAGAGGAGATAATTGGGTACAGATCCAGCAATTGCTCCTGTCAAGAGCTCTGGATATATTTTAGACCATCGTGATGCAATTAATAGGCCAAATCCTGAATCATGGTTACCAGCTGGGCAGACAACAGACATGGGAAAAGCAGTTTCAACCACATCAGCTTGATTTGCGTCAGTCTCTCGTTCTTCAGTGGTTTCACGAGCAGAAGTCTTCTTGACTCTGGAGCAGTGGGTCTATGGTCCTTTCTCAGAAACTTTGACCACAGTGAGGGTGGGCAGCAAAGCTTGGAACGGTCCCTTCCACTCAGCTTGCAAGGGGTTGCTGTCCCACCACTTGATGTAGATCCTGTCTCCAGGCTGAAATGGATGAGCAGGTGTGTCCAGTCCTATGGGCTTGGACAACACGGCAAATCTCTGGAGCTTCTGTGAAGTGGAACTTGAAACCATTAAGCATTTCTGCCAATCATTATGAGTTTTCTCTGAGATATGTAGAACTTGGTATGGTTTGCCATACAAGATTTCATAGGGACTTACATTGTCCCTCTGCCTTGGTTGTATGTGAGCTCTCAGCAAGGCTATAGGAAAGGCCTGAACCCATTTCGTTGAAGTTTCTTGGCAGATCTTACTGATCTGGGTTTTGAGGGTTCCATTCATATGCTCAACCTTGCCACTTGCTTGGGGCCTGTATGGAGTATGCAGGTCCCAAGTAAGTCCCAGAAATCTGCTAACTTCTCCGACCACAGTTGCAATGAGATGTGGTCCTCTATCTGACGATATTCCCAAAGGAACCCCAAACCTTGGAATTGTGTGGTTGAGCAAAGCTTTTACTACCTCTTTTGCTGTGTTGGTGCGACGGGGTAAGCCTCAGGCCATCCAGTTAAGGTGTCAACCAGTACCAGTACATGTTTGTATCCCTCCTTACATGGCATTTCAGCAAAATCTAATTGCCAGTAGTCTCCTGGGAGATCTCCTGCCTTTGTCACCCCTAACACAACTCTCTTGCTTATGTCAGGATTGTTTCGACAGGTCTCACACTTGCTTGTTATAGATTGTACGATATCAGTCTTCCCTCTTCTGATCACTGCCTTCTTCAGATGTTTCAAAAGATTTTCTGTTCCCCAGTGGGTACCYTCATGYTCCTTCTGTGCTATTTCTCAAAGGAGTGGAGGTTGGGCTACAACCTGTCCTGTTGGGRTAGCAGCCCACCCACCTTYCTTAATTYCAGCTTTAAGAGCCTTAATTAATTTTTGATCCCCCTGATTGTATTTTGGAGTAAACCCTGTCAAATCTCCTCCATCTGTGCTACTACTGCAAGTTTGTCTTTTCCTGTACCCCTTTCTGTTGCTTTACCAAAAAGATAATTTCCCAATTCAGGGGTTGTTTTCCCTTTTTGATGACAGTTACATCTGTAGTCTTCCAGATATTCTGCAGGCGTGCAAAGATCTGTTCTGCATGCTTAATTTCATCACCTTGAATAGTCAGCAGGCCACATTCCTTCCAAATAACTCTGTGGGCATGAAAAATGCTAAGCACATCAGTCCATATGTCCACCTTCTTTCCCTCGCTCATTTCTAGAGCTCTCGTCAGTGCAATCAGTTCAGCTTTCTGTGATGACATATCTGAAATCAAGGCTTTTGCTTCAATTATCTTATCCGTGGTGGTTACTGCACAGCCTGTCATCCTCTTGCCATTCCTTGTGAAACTGCTTCCATCAGGAAATAGTTCCTGGTCTCAGTTCTCCAGAGGCACATCCTTCAGGTCTGGTCTGCTGGAATAAGTCTCCTCTATTGTCTGCAAACAGTCATTCTCAGGCATGTTATCAAATAATGTGGATGACAAAAACATTGCAGGGTTTACAACACAAGTTGTTTTCAGGGCAACATCATCCTGTTCCAGCAACACAGATTGGTAGTTAAACATTCTGCCAGGGGACAGTGTCGTGGGTTTGAACCTGATTTTTCCCAATCCAAGTCACGGCACCAAAAAATGTTGTGGTTTGAACTGTGCTGAAAGCCAAAAGCACCCACGACGTTCCCTCCCTTCCCACTGGAGAGGGCAGAAGGGAGAGCAAAAGCCCAATTAACACGAAAATTTATGGCATTCACATAACATAACGTAATTGAGAGAAAGATACTATATGCTCCAGAGAATGGTCAGACAGGCTGAATAAGTTAAGTTGCAAAATAGATTTATTACTAAAAATTACTAAGAATACTACCGCACCGGGGAGGGGAACAAAGATAGGGAAAAATTTACAAGGAGAAGAAAAATAAAAATGGACATTTTAAGACACTTGTTATTCTTTCTGGGAGCCTGGCTCTTCCTCAGGTCATCCCTCTCCACCCCCCCATGCCTTCCCGCACACACAGGGGACAGGAATGAAAGTCTAACATAGATCAAACTACTCATTACAGTTGTCGTCCAGCATCATAGGAGAAGCGTTCTTACAGCTCCAAGCTGTGGAAGGTCTTTTCCCAGAAAACAGTCAGTGTATAACTGCTGCTGGCAAGGGATTCTTTTCTTTACCTCGTAGGAGAAAGGAAAGATTGTTCTTCAAGGCCAAACTGCGTTGTTTCGGCGGTGTAAGACCACTATCACAAATCTCCTGGCAGAACACAGCTTCTTCTAAGCATCCACTTACTTCAGACATAGGGCGGGGGCATCTCCTCCTCCCTGCAGCACACAATTTCTTCTTAGCATCAACTCACTTCAAACGTCGTGGGGTGGGCCAAGCCTCTTCCCCCTTTTTGGCTCCTGATCAGTTCAGTCCAGTCCTCAAAGGCCAGGGTTTTTTCCTCAGAGCAAGGTCGCTCTCTTTTCTATGCAGGTCTCTCATTGATGAAATAGTCCTTTCAAGAACAGCTTGTTTTCTCAATGTCCAAGCACCACAGCAATAGCACAGCAACCCATCCCATCTTCTCCTTACTGTGATCTTGGGTCTCCATTTTTCTTCTTACATCTCCTCACCCTCCTGCTCTGTTTTTCCCCAGTGCATGATACTAAATACTAACAACCTGAAAACCACATGGCGGCTGCCCCTATCTTGTTTTGAATTCTTGTTAGGTACAAGACCATACGTCATCACAGAGGTGTAACCAACCTGTGCAATTGGCCCAGGCCTGATGGTCAGCCTGTCCATCAACCTCAGAGCCACGATGGATTGGCTCTAAAACACAGGGGGTAGGGCTCCTTTTGCTGGAGAAGAAAGAGAAAGCTTCTAGAACTTCCTCACAGGAGCCATCTTTGTGGTTTCTTGGTCTCATCCCCCCACCTCCAAAAATTGGGCTAAGAAAAACCATGACAGATAGCCAGTATCCCCCGTTTTGTTCTAGCATGGACACCATTATGTGGAGTACATACATGACAATGTGCTGACGTGTATCAGGATCACAGTTGCTGCTACAGTCCTCAAACACCCAGGGCACCCCTGGCTAACATTGTCCAGCTGTTTTGAAAAATAGGCCACAGCTCTTCGTGCTGTGCCAGTACCCCCAGAGAAACACTTCTTCGCTCATATGGAAAAAGTTCAAAAGGCTTACTTAAGTCCAGCAGCTCTAGCTGTCCCAGGTGTTTAAATGCAGCCTTTGTACTCTCTATGGACAATAAGATGGTTCTCTTTTCGGCCACCTTAAGGGTCCCATACAGAGGTGTTACCAGTAGTCTTTTCCAGTTCTCCGATTCTTTTGCCAGCTGGCTTTCAGATTTCCAGGTGAGTTGTCTCAGTATCTCTCCTCTCAAAAGCGAAGAGCTTTTAACGATTTTTGTGCACAGGAGTAGGGGTAGTGGAAAAAACGAATTTCAGACCCAAAACAGTAATCCACTCGAGTTCATTGGTCAGTGTAGTCATGGTTCCCTGACCAGGAATTGAACCTGGGTTACAGCAGTCCGAGCCCTGAGCCACTAGACCACTAGGGAATGTAATCTGACCTTGTATCTCTTGTTCAGAGGAGCTATCTGTGTTGGGCTCATCAGACTTGCCTTTAATTGTGATTGTTTCTCCCTTTGTTTTGGCACTGCTCGTTTGGTCTCCCCCGCTCCCGGCTTCTGGGGCACCAGGAGTGGCAACAGGACCTGTCCCCGCTCCGGCCCCACTCCTGCCCCCAAGGCTGTCGGGCGGTGGTGGACTCGGCCCCTCTCCGGCCCCACTCCCGTCCCCAGAGCTGTCGGGGGGCGGTGGGCAGTCATCCTCCCCTCCCAGCCCTGGAGGGACTGGGGGAAGGGGTGGCAGCGGCAGGGGATGGGGAGGGGGTGCTGCCTCTCCCCCCTTCTCCACCGGTGCGGGCAGCACTGGCGGTGGAACAGGGGGGGATCCTCCCCTCTGCTCTCTTCTCCTTAGTGAAACCATCTCCACCCAGCCTTTCTGCGGTTGACTGTAAGCTTGTTCTCTGTTTAAAATTATTGCAAACAACTCTGCATRTCTCAGCTCCTCATACCTGCCCTGGACTCTGAGTTCTACCAATAACTCAGTAATCAAGTCATTATCCAGAYTCCCAAACTGTGGCCATCTCCTTCCGGTTCTAAGRCCTAAAACTGGCCAAACACATGTGCAGAGTCTTACTAACTCCCCYGTGTTCACAGCTGTCCTCTTCCCGGTTAGACCTTGCCAATGTTTTAGTATTACACTTAATGGGGCTTCACGGAGTATCTGAATACTTTGAGAGGATGATACACACCCCATGTTCTGTTTATAAATGAAAAAGCAGCTAGACTTGGAAGCACGAATCAAACCTGCGACCTCACCCCCGCTACAAGTTGCAGCCTAACCTTTACTGCAAAAGCAGACCAGAGAGAAAGCAGAAGTGCATGCATGCAAGAAACCTGCCCTTGCTGGGTCTCTGCCACCCGAGCAGAGAGACCCAGCCCCTGAGCCTTTCAGCTGCCTGTTGCACTGAGCCCTGGAGCAGCTCTCAGGCTCTGTGTGGATACAGCGAAGAGCGTCCTCTTCTTTCCACACCCCCGTGGGAAAAGGAAATTTCCTTATCACAGAAAACCCCCATTTTACAGGGCCCCCCTAGCCACAAACCAACCATTTGCTAGCAAAAATACCGTACCCCTTTTATCTTACCTCCTCTCCATGCCTTGTGTTGGATTTCTTTGAAGTTCCCAGTCTCAGCTCTGGGACTGTTGCTCTTGATCCCAGAGCTAGGACTCGGTCTCCTTCTCGTCCCATCTGGGGTGCCAGAAAAACTGTTGCCTTGAAAGGCCAGTTTTTAATAAAGACACAGACATGGTTAAGGGGATAAAAAGGGTTTCACCTCAGTATTTGGGATCCCAGGTGCACAACTTGATGTCAGAAAGCACCCCCATGTATAGCACGGATACAAATTTTATAGGTTTCAGGAATTAGCATATCTATATAGGATTCCCCAATAAGAAACTTAACAAATGCAGTAATGTCCCCCTATTCTAATGAATCCCCCTCCAGAGAGAAGGCTTCACCCAAGGCTGGGACCTCGGGTTTAAGACAGCACAGGGCACACTGATCCCTTCCTCAGGATGTTTGGTCTCTCTGCCCAGCAGAACTCCTAAACTAAGCTGGAATATCAGGCTACAGGAATTATAAACATGTGGGCCAGGGGGTACAAGGGATACCTAAAGRGTACAGAAAATGTATAAAAGGATATAAMAGTATAAAAAAGCATAYATGAAAGGAAAGGCAAAACTCATCAAGCATCAAGATTAACCTTACTTCCTTTGCAGCTACTGGTAGCCATGTGCAAGATTAGCRTTCAAATCAGGAATCTAGACTTTGAAATTAAATGGATATTGTTCCTGAGTTCTTTCATTCCTCAGTGAGGGTACATTGATTTTACCAGGCTTTATTGTTGAGGATGAAAGGAGCTATAAGTGTTAGTGGTTGAGGCAAGTGAAGTAAATATATTGCTTAAATGCTGTTTTCGAATGAGTTTCCTTTTTTGGCTCCACCTAGTGTCCTGTTACTTTCTGCTCCTGCTGCAGGTGTGGTATGCTGCCTCCTACGCCGAGTTTGTGAACCAGAAGATCCATGACATAACTGAGGAGGAAAGAAAGGGTAACTTGGGATCTTCTGCTTTCAGTGTGGTGGTGGTTGGGTGTTGCACTTTTTACTTTCAAGTATATGGACTGTATAGTGCTCCCAAATTTCTGCTAGGTTGGGAGAAGTTAAACCAGATCTAGCTTGTGTTATTGGGGCTTACTTCCAATAACTCTTCTCATGAGATTATTACATTAATTTAACCATTTACCTCAGTTTTTGGGAAGCCTGAAGTTGCTGCTCTGAGAGGTATGTTACTGTACTTAATGTCTACTGTGTGTCATGAACTGAGGTGTGACTGCTTTAGATTTAGCAGTTTCCCTTGATCTGCCTTAATTTATGCCAGAGGCGCAATCCTGTAGGTGCTCCTCCATACAAGGGTGATKTTTGGAATCCCCTTGCATTTCTACCAGTGTTGATAGTCCATAGGAATTGTCTCAGTGATTTTTCTGTGTCTCTGTGATGAGCTATGGTCATGGCATAGTGCAGAGGGGATAAAAGCAAAGACTAGAGGAGCAGGGGTGGGTATTCAAGGGCCTGTCTAACCTTCAAGGGAGAAATACAGCCCACTGAGGACAGRGAGGCTGGGGGCAAAAAAAATGAGGTGTTTAATTGATGGTGAGTGAAATTATGTTATTGACATTTCCAATAGTGCTCAGGGAGCAGGAAAAGAACTGGCCATGTTACGAGTGTAATCGGCGTTTTATGAGCTCAGAACAGCTCCAGCAGCATCTCAACTCCCATGACGAGAAGCTGGACTTCTTCAGCAGGTACTGACAGGCTTAGCTTTAYTTGTGGAACACTGTGGGGCTTCCCCAAACATGCAGAAAGCAGAGGCTTTGTCCTACAATTCTTAGTAATCAATTCAAGAGAGATCAGCTCAGCACCAGAAGGAAAAATCATGGCAGCAGGAGGCTATCTGGTAAAAGAGACTCTGTGAAAGAAGTTGCTTGAGAAAAATAAATACTCCATTGAAACCGGTGAAGATTTTTTGTTCTGCTTTTTTTAATTTTTTTTTTTCCAATTGCTAAAAAAACTTGTAATGTTTCAGTGTTACATTATTTAAATACTGATGTTGCTCAGAGATATGGAAGTATAGAGCTTGGAGAACAACTTCTAGTACCTCATTGACCTTGGCAAGATAGTTTATCCTGACATTAAAAACTGAATCTACAAACACCTATCACAGAGCAGAAGACATTGGTGCCTTCTTTCTCCTGGAATGTAGCAAGTGACTCTGTTTTGTTTTGTTTYTTTGACACAATATTGTTCCCTTCTGTGTAGTGGCTGACATCAATGGCTGAACACTTTTTGGTGAGGGTTGTTATGTCTTCAGATTTTAAGTGGGTTTCCTTGTGCACTTATTCCATCATGCTGAAAATGCTTCCAACATACCATAAACTGGGATGTTGGAAGTGGSAGACTTGCCATGGCTGAGGGCTGGATGGAAGCCAGTAGTCCTCTTGGTCCCATGATTACTAATAGAAATTTTAATATGTTCTGGTCTTTGGTTTCTCATAAAGCACAAAATAAATAGATACCAACCAGAAACCCATTGTTTTTGCTGCCAGAATTTCTTCAGTTATTATTTACTGTAGGCCATTGTTGCTGAGTTGAGTGGGTGAGTAGTGATGCTGAGAAAGAAAGCATAAAATCAGTGGAAAATACAGATCCATCTTTTTTTTTTTGTCTCTAACCTGGAACGCTATTCTGCAGAACCAGAGGCCGAGGTCGCGGGCGAGGAAAGAGGAGGTTTGGACCAGGCAGACGTCCTGGGCGCCCTCCCAAATTCATGCGCWTGGAAGTAACCACTGAAAATGGTGAAAAGTGTGAAGAAGGGACACAGGTATATTTTTGGAGATGGAGGGRAAAAAATAGCATGTAAACTCTTGATTAAAAGAATTTGGGGCATCAGTGCAAACCAAGGGTGTGCTTTGGACTTACCCATGAATAATTCTTTGTTTCTAGCTGGAATTCTCTGCCAGGAAAACACACTACTTCCGTGCTATAAAACCTGTAAAATCATTTGGATTTCTGCAGCAAGTTTCACCCCAAAGTATTTAGCAGTGAGGTGGGTTATTGCAGCAGTTTAGCAGCATCACAAAAGTAATTTAGGTAGTAAAACTGTAATGGGAATTTAGGTTCCTGTTTGTCCTTTTTAGAATGTGAGGTCAGCCTGCTCTTACAACTGTTGCTGGTGGGATTAAATCAGCTTGAGATATGATTCTTTATGATGTTTTAATATTAACAGAAGGGCCTCCTGTAGGCAGTCTTACTGCAAAATGTTCTTTTGGTTGTAGCTGTTGATTATATTCTGTGTGGACAGAATATAATTTAAGTAAAAAACTAAATTCTCTCATGCTGACCATGCTTAGGTTACCACTAAGTTCTTTTACGAGCAGCGTCAGAAGGGATCAGTGCTCTGTTTTATGACTTAGCTGAAAGCTGATATCTGGAGTGGTAATTTTCCTCTGGCACCTCACTGGATCGTGGCTCCGTGCTGACTCAGAGGGAGGAATGCCTGTTAATTCCTGCTGCAATGCCCTAAATGCTGCATTAGGTGCAAAAAATAGTGAGCTCACCCTCTCTGCAGGCTGACATGCCTGCCAGGTTCATTTAAACAAATAAACCTAATAAACAAATTTAAACAAATAAACCTAATACTGGTCCCAAACCCTTCACTCTGGGGAGATGGCACTTGCTGGGCACAGTCTGGTGTGTGAGTGGCCTCTGGACTGGAGGTGGCTTGTGTCCTGCCAGCTTGGAGCATGGCCCAGGGCTGGCTCACGTCTGTGCAGTGGGGCACGGAGAACTCCCAAGCTGTCCAAGGTCTGCTCACCTTGCTAAAGCTGGGCACAAGTTCTGCCTGGGAACTGGAGATTCAGGATGCTGAGAGCACCGCTGGGTGTCAGCAAGGTGGAAACTTGCCACCGAGACCTGGGCTGGACACTGGGCTGGTGTATTGTTTATYAATGGTCTCTCTCTGGTAAGCACTCACGGTCTATAAGGGCCTCATGCCTTTGTTTTCTTCTTCCACACCCACTTTTGTGCTTTGACAGCACCAGCCTTCTGCTGACATAGTTCAAGATTAATTCTGGTGCTCCATTTCCTAGTTAATGATTTTAACTTTCTTCAGTTGCATTACATGGTGTCAAATGTGAATCTGTGTGTGTTTTTTCATGTAATACAAGATGCTTCCATCCCAGAGGAGTTATTGGAACTTAYAGAGAAAGAATGTAGACTTTTGGCATGTGCTTCCTGCTCACAATACCCTCCCTTTTATGCTAATGCAAAAGGGGAGGAAGAAGAACTTTTTGTGATATCTGTAAGTGATGTGTGCAGAGCTGGAAACTGGATAAAAAAACCAAACTGCRTCCAGTGCCATCACCTGGTTTGTCACTCTCCAGTTCAGCACTCCAGAGAGTTTGTTAGAAAGGACAAGACCCTGCAAAATGACACATGATAATGCTTCATAGCAACAACAGTTTCCATGAGACAGAAATTCTCTCCTTTCCCGGGTCTGCTTTAGTCACTCTGGTCAGCCTTCATCCTCTGTCATTAAAGCAGAAATAGTCCTGAGTGCAGCMGAGTCTTCTTAGCTATTAACAGCCRGATAGTGCTGATTGTGGCTGGTCAGACAAAGGGATGGCCCACGGAGAGTCAGTCACCCACTTGCAGCACTGCTTCCCTGGTGTTCTGGGTGATGCTGCTGTAGCTGAAGGTGGTGTGCTGAAAGCACCATAGGATACCTGTAGGAGTTAGTGTAGCCACTACACTGCACTGTTTTGTTTTATAGCTTGTGATKAAATATGTAGAAATCTTGTTGTCTGCTGAGTATTATCAAAGTGTTTTTCAGTGGGTGGGGGGAATAATCACTGGTTGTATGATTTGCGATTTCAGGACTTGCTGCATTTTTCCAGCAAGGGGCAGTTTGATGAGGCCGGACAAGCTGCATTGAATGGTCTGGAGCAGCAGGAACAGACTCCAGTGCTGCCAGAGCCGCAGGTGGCACTGGAGCAGCAGGAAAACCACACACTCCATGTGCAGCCGCAGCACGAGGGGAGCACAGTGCCCACGCAGAGCACCATGACAGCAGATGACATGAGGCGAGCAAAGCGCATCAGGGTAAGCACATAGGATGGGGAATCACATCCACTGTAACCCAGTGAATGCCAGACCTGCCTGCCAGGGCCAGCTGGTCCTCCTTTCACTGTCGTATCTGTTTACAAATCCAAATAAAGCACCTAATTCCTAGTAGTYTTCTTTGCACTGAGAGGAAGACAAATCTCATGTAAAGGACCAGTATCTCATAGATGCTGGTGAGAACTGATCAGGAGTTGGAGCTGATTGAATTCCAGCACAGTAATTCTTTCACGGAAGCACAGTACATCCAAGCTGGCAGGCAGGGGTGCTTCAAACAGCCAGCAGAATCGTGGTKCTATGGCACAGACTTAACATCTTGCTCACAGCACCATCTGTGTCTCTCAGAACTCTTTTGCAAATAGTTGCCAAAGAGGAACCACAACCTCAGTTTAGATCCACTTAGATGATGATGATACTTAGTGATAAAATCCTTTTTTGGGATAGAAAACCCTGCCTTTGAGAGCAAAACCTGTGCTAAGAGCTTTGTGTACTGACAGCAAATACTTTGTGCCTGAGCTCTGTGTTAACTGGGTGAGCTGATTTTTCTCTGCTATGTGTGGGAGGGAAATGATTCAAGCAAATAATCCTTGAATCTTTGTAACTGGGAGATCGGTTTATTTAGCTCATTTTTTTTTTCCTTTTTCTTCCATGTGTTAACTTTGGGTTAAGGAAAGAAATATCTGCAGTGGAGTAAGGGTTCATTTTTAGGGGATGAGGAAGGATTAGAAAAGAGTTGAGTAACTGGTCTGTATAGGAAGATGTTGAGCCAAATTTTGCTTGCAGTGGGTGGGGGGAATTTACAGCAATATGTATGCAAGACCAGTGGTGGTGTCACCCCAAAAATGCAGTGGCATGTCTTGAAGGAAGAGTTTGGCTTGGGCACATTAAGACTGCCCAGTTTTTAACCATACAAAATGCTTGTAGTCTCTGATGAGTTTCTACCARTGACTTCATTTTCATATGTTAAAAGCTTGGGGGATTTTTTACTGAATGTGTCGAAGGGGGTATAATAAGTACACACAGAGATGCTGAAGTTTTGACAGASCATAGAGATGACTGCTTAGTGTGCTACAGCTTCTCAGTAAGATGAGAAAGTGTTGGCCATTTCCCTGAACTTTTGAACCYAAGATGTTAACTTAGGATCCTCTGAAATAATAAATGTAGGAAGGGACAGAAATTCTGAAGTTACTTCTTTGTTTTGACTTAGCTTTTGTTCTCTGTAAATTCATCACAAATGGATGACAACTCACAGGATTGCAGTGGTGGTTTAGTGACATGTTTGTATCTCACATCTTCCTAACTCTCCCTGTATCTGGCAGCTCATGTTCAACAGAGYCCTGGAGATGTTTCAAGGCAGGAGCACTGGCAGAATGGCAGATGGATGGTTGCACAGACRTTTCCAAATTGCATCAGGCAATGAGCACCTGAAATAAGATTAAACCTGCAAGCATCATTTTTTAAGCACTGAAAAGTSACCCTCTGAATGCTCACTCAACTCACCTATTCACAGCACCTGCCTACAATAACACACACTCATAATATARAGAAGCAAATATTAGCGTTTTAGATATGTAGTACATTATTCACTTTCAAAGGACAGGTAGAGTTMTGAGTCCTGGTAATGATTCTGAAACCAGTGAAGCTCTAATTCTTGCTTATTACCTAGGTAGGATATATTTTTTGAAACCAGTTGTTTTTTGTGAATTGCTTCAGCTTTTCTATGACTTAAGGCAGTGATGCTCTGAGACTGTTTTCATGCTAGCTGGAAGCACTGATCTGTCCTGTCCCAGGGTTCAAGTCCTGATAGGCTCAGCTCATTTTTMAGCCTCTGCTTTAGAGCCTGTGGGGTTTTCCTTGAGGTCAGATCTTAACTATGGCAGTTGTGTTTCTAGTATTGAAAAGAGAGACACCCACCCTTCAAGAATTCTTGTGAAAAATTAGAGGAACATTGTGGTCCACAGCCAAACTGAATACTTGTTCTTATTTCAGTTCTGGTCAGTATGTAGGGTTATCTATGTGCTGATGCCAGAAATGGGAGGGATAGGAATATGATTTGGAAAGCACAGTMATTTCCTTCATGGTGAAAGAAGTGCAACTGGTTGTGTAACAAGGAGCACAGCTAGTAAAAGAGGGTTAGAAGAATTCCCGTCTCCTTAACTTTTTCACTCTYCTAATCCCTAGCCTGTTGTCATCCTACCCTGATTATTCCCTTCTGCTGAAAGCATTCTGTTCTCACTATGGTTCTGCAGTGCACATTGCATCCTTATTAATTAGCCCTGGGAAAACAGGAAAGATGGCMAAACACCTTCAAGATTATCTGTGATTTTTATCTTTGCCCTTTWACCCCCTTTGGGCTGTTAGTAACTAGACAATAAACTTTGGAGATCTGTTTAGTGTTTCCTGAGGCAAAAACCTCAAAGCAGTAAATTSTAGTTGGAAGAGCCCTTGCAGTGACCTGCAGAAGTCAAAGCTTCTGTTTTCAAGTCCATTGCGTAACATAAGTATTTTTCTCTCCCTCAATGCTGCCTGCTCAGCTGGAGCTGCAGGTAGGTTTGGGTTTTTGTTTATTGGGTTTTTGCTGTATCTAATCTGATGGTACGTATCAACATTGACTTCCACATTGTCTTTTCCAACTCCTGTTTAGTGTTTCCTGATTGACMCTGCACCATAAATTGTTACATTTGTTCTTCTTTAGGTAACCAATTCCCAGAACTACGTGTTACCTGAATAACAATTTGCATTCTTCTAGTTTTGGTTTTTTTTTCACACCAGTTCTTTGTAAATTTAAGGTGGATTTTATAGGCGTAAACTGCTTGGATGAACAGCTGTAATGTCAATCTTAAAGTTTTGGAGGACTTGTTTGTGCAATTGTGMTGGATCAGTACTACAAGTTAATGAGACAACACTTAGTTCTTTTGTTTTTATAGTTGATARATTACCTAGGCAAAGAGCAGCAAAACATTTCATCTTCTGTAACCCTTGAGATAACAAGGGTATGTTGAGTCTGCCTTCTGTATTAGCTATCAGCTCACTGCTAAGGTACYAGTGATCAAAACTCAAATTAATAGTGCAGTTCAGGACTTGAAATATATCTTTTAACTCATTTTATTAGCATATCCCTGTGGATAAGGGGGAAATTATATCCTTCAGACTCCAAGCAGCACATCAATTTTTGCACAGCACACAGCTGTCTTTCCAATTCCCAGTGTGACTTTCAGCAGATCCCTGTATTTCCCATTATCTCCACTTGTAAAATGGAGAATGGAGATAATGACAGCTCCTGGGAAGGGCTATTTGGAGTTCCTATATTAAACTGTTTGTTTGGCTTTTTAATAGCAAAACATTTGCTCTCTTGTTCTTTTCTGGAATAAAAGTCTAGGTTTCCCGCTGCAGTTCAGATGGTGAGAAGGATCTTTCGGGTTCACAYGTTTAATCCTTAGCACAGCATTTCACATTATTCCCAAGCTGTTCCCTCATTTCAGCAGAAGAGYTTCTAACTTTACTTTTTCAGTGTCAGATGTTGGCATGCACTTAAGGGACRCAGCCAATGTCATCTGTGTCAGCTGCCACATTCCCTCAAGGAAAGGAGACAGGAAATGAGGGAAATTTGTTTACAGAAGTGTTGAGTGTATCTCATGGAGAATTGGGTCATCTGGAACACATGTGACAGAAGTGTCAGCAATATTCTAGTGGAATTGAAGTGCTTTGGGTTAGGAGAGGAGGGACCTTAAAACTAAACCATTTCTAATCCTTTGCCATGGGYAGRGACACCTTCCACTGGACCAGGTTGCTCCAAGCTCCATTCAACCTGGCCTTGAATATTTCCAGGGATAGGGCAGCTCCAGCTTCTCTGGGCARCCTGTGCCARGGCTTCACCACCCTCACAGGGAGAATTTCTTCCTAACGTGCAAACTGAACTTTTGCTCTTTCACATGATTTCTCTATCATGATGTAGATTCTGTGTGTAACATGTGAAAAGAGAAGACATGAATAAATAACGTTTTATAGAAGTATTTGGGAGAAGAGTGGATACTGCTTCGACTTCTTGCAGAGGAATGGGGCATTGCAGTATACTTTGAGTGCAGTATGGGTGAAAATGTGCTGTGGGATTTCACAGGACTCAATTCCAGCTTTGCAACTATCCAACATCAAAGTTCTCATCCAATACTGAAATGCAGGTGYAGGACACCTTCCCTCTTTCTACAGGCAGTGCATTCAGCAGCATCTGTTCTCCAGCAGAGTGCTTGGTCAGAACTGGGATGGCCCTATAACATTTATCTGAAGGGTAAGGGGTTAAAGCGAAGACAGAACAATCATGAAATGTTACATAAAAGGCAGAGTGAAGGCAAACACCAAAATAAAATAAGAGGCTGAGAAGAAACATTGTGTACAGTAGGAGTGGAGAATTGCTCTCAAGTTCTTACCTGCTCTCAAAAGGCTGCCATTCTGCCCTTGTTGTCAGGTTTTGGAACTTTGTTCTTCTTTTTGGCAACAGTAAAAAAGTTTAGACCAGCACCTCTTGAATTTGTGTTCCACTAGAAGTTCTCCAGTCAATGCTAAACCACCACTGCACATCTCTTTGGTGATCTTGGATGAAGAAGGCGATCTTGTAAAGGGTTGTGGAACTTCATAGGCCCTGCTCCTGAGGAAAACACACAATGCTGGCTCACCATTCCTTTGTGTGTTGGCTGAACTTAGGACCTGATCCCAAATAATTGGCTGGAATTGCAGCTTTTCTCAGGTCCAGGTTTGTGCTTCAGAGAGGACTTAATTTTACAGAGAAAATTACATGCTTAAGACAAATCACCTAAATCAGAAGAAATCAGGGATGGAGAGGAAACTTCTGTCTCTCACAACCTCCCCTGCTGTAAATTGGAAGCAGCATATGATGGAAAATAATTTTTTGAAGTTTAGGTTCATTGATCATTTGGTATATTTAATATGAATATATCTGGATGTGGAATCTGTACAAAGTAATGAAAGCTAGTGGTCTCTTGGATGCCTCTTTCAGAATGCAGCTCTGCAGCACCTGTTCATCCGGAAATCCTTCCGCCCGTTCAAATGCCTGCAGTGTGGGAAGGCTTTCCGGGAGAAGGACAAGCTGGATCAGCACCTGCGCTTCCACGGGCGGGAAGGGAACTGCCCTTTGACCTGTGACATCTGCAACAAGGGCTTCATCAACAGCGGTGCCCTCGAGAGCCACATGAAGTTCCACATGGACCAGAAAACCTACTCCTGCATCTTCTGCCCCGAGTCCTTTGACCGCTTGGATCTTCTGAAGGATCACGTGGCCATCCATGTCAATGATGGCTATTTCACCTGCCCCACCTGCAAGAAACGCTTCCCAGATTTTATCCAGGTGAGATGCTGCACTGATTTGAAGCACTGTTTTGGGGGTCTCTCGCAAATCTGTGGGATTCTCAGTGCTCTCCTCGTGTAACTTCACAGCAGTTCATTCTCACAGGGTGCAGGGATCCCCCTCAGTCAGAAAAAGATGAGTGACCAAGCACTGCTAGACATTGTCTTATGACACTGAAGTGCTCTGTCCACTAAATCATCAGATGCAGTGCTTCAATCTGGTATTAGAAGGCACTGTACTGCAGAAGGAGTGGGTGTCTTATTCCCAAAAAAATGTCGGAAGCCGAGGTCTGAAGCCGAGATGACTACTACATCTCCTTGGCACAAAAAGGAATTGTCTTTTGCTGTGCTCAGCTTGTACTTGAACACACTTTGCCCTATGTCATTAAAACTGAACAAAAAACCGAATGGTTTTACATCTTTAATCCCTTGCCTGTTTTCTGTCAGGATAATTCATTTGAGCAGCTTGCAGAAATGCCAGAACAGATCAGAATACTCTGCATCCTGACTTCCCTTGTGGGCTTCAGCTGGGCACTTTATTCTCCTTCTCTGCACACTGCAGTGGAGCAGTGACTAATGCAGCTACTCTGCACTGTGCTGAGCACTTGGACAAGGTTGTTAGTAGAATTTAAACATTCTATTTCCATGTCCAGTAAGAAAAAACTGAGATGGACTATGCACATATTCATTATCCTTCCTAGGGACAAAGCGATGGATGTGTCTTACTGAGCTGCCTGACTGAAATTGAAATGTAGAAATCTACTGTAAATCAGTAATAGGAACTGATAGACTATCCACTATGCTAAAGAGGAAAGGATGGGGGAAAGTGATTTACTAGTATAATTCCATCCTGGCAGCAGCCTTTTATGTTCTGTAAATGTTCAGCAAGGAAGAATGTTGGATGATTCAGAAATGCTGTACTGCAACCTAATTCCCTGTAAATTTTGCCATGCAAGTGATTGCAAGTCCCACGGCTTTTTTCSAACTATTCAGTTCTATTTTTGACATTTAACAATGTTTTTTTTCTCTTTTTGCTATGTGAATAATTAAGTCTAGTCACTGCTGCCTACTTAAATACTTTTCTGTGGAACAGACAGAGATGCCAAGTTGTTCCATATATGATCAATATTAGAAGATGGTAAGGATTTAATTAGAGATCCATTTCTTGACTAGTGCTTGCATTTCAAATGTCAAAGCTCGTTAGTTCCCTTTATGGGGGGAAAGGAACAGAAAAGCCCTACAGATACCTGAAGCAGTCAAGGATAGTACCAGAGTATGGAGAAATAACTGCCATTCAGGAATGGTGTGCAAATGCTCTTCTGATTAAGGTTGGGGTTTTTTTGTCAATTGTCATTGCAAACTCATTGTGTCTGATTGAAAGGAATTAGTCCCCTTGTTGTTTTTTTTTATAAATGAAGGGAAGATAATGAACCTCAGATTTTTGTAGTAACTTGATGGTGATTCTGTGCAAATGCTACATTGTGGACTTTTGCYGCCCATTAAATGCAACTGTGTAATAGCTGATGCCTTCAAGAATCAGTCTTGAGGTAATCAAATCACCGATCCAGATGAGTAATAAAGATGTTTTGGCTTTATAGAAACTATTGTTGAGATATCAACTGTTCTGCTGAAATACTTTTTAAACCAAAGCAGATTGGACAACTGCAAAACCTTTTCCCTTTCATATTGCAAAGAGTTTCCTGGAGTGTTTTACCACTCACTTCTCTTTTGAATAAACTTCATTTTCCTGTGATGTGCCATTTTAGGTCAAGAAACACGTGCGCAGTTTCCATTCTGAGAAGATTTACCAGTGTACAGAGTGTGACAAGGCTTTCTGCCGCCCCGATAAGCTGCGACTCCACATGCTGCGGCACTCGGACCGCAAAGACTTTCTGTGCTCCACCTGTGGCAAGCAGTTCAAGGTGAGCTGGCTCTTGGCTGGATCATTCCTAGTACCTAAACCACCATTCCTTACCGTCATTCAAGCAGATAAACTCATGTTTTCAAAGGTGAAAGRAAACTATGTGTGTAAACATACTAGAGTTGCCTGTGAGTGCATGCACTGCTTGATGTTCTGTGTGAGCTATGGCATCCATTTCTGAAGGACAATGGGCAAGGTCACCTCAGCATCTTATTTCAAGCAGATCTTATTCCTAATAATATAATAGCAAAGGAACTTTCTATCTGCTCACTAAGAGCTGGGACATCATACAGCTCCATTGCCAGGTGTTTGGGTTACATTGCTTATATTAGTTCTGTTAAAAAACTTCTTGCTGATGCCAGTGTATTAATAATATTCCTGGCTAAGATGCCTGTGTCCATGGCATCCATCTTGTCAGCACATCATCCAGATGCCTTTCCAAATCCCACYGGAACAGATGGAACAGACTGTGAGCCAGGTAAACTGTGGTGGCAGCAGCCTGCTCCCTGTCACTGAGTTTGTGATGGGACACTAAGGAACTAAATGCTTCTGGGTAAAGGAACACATCTTTCTGAGAGGAAAAGCTGGAGAGAGATCCCTGAAGAACTCACACTGTGGCTCTTACACATAACAGTAARTAAGTAACTGTGAGGCAGTTTCTGTGATATTGCTGACATTTTTTCTCCCCAATTGTTCCTTCCCAGAGGAAGGACAAGCTGCGAGAGCACATGCAGAGGATGCACAACCCAGAGAGGGAGGCCAAGAAGGCTGATCGAATCAGCCGCTCCAAAACCTTCAAGCCCCGGATCGCATCCACTGACTATGAGAGCTTCATGTTCAAGTGCCGCCTCTGCATGATGGGCTTCCGCCGCAGGGGCATGTTGGTGAGTGCTCGGGTGCTCTCACAGCCTCTCTATTCTGATGAACAAGTAAGGAATAAAGATGGAATTCCAGCACTGGAACACAAGGRTCATAAAAGGGTTTGGGCTGGAAGAGACCTTAAAGCTCATCTCCTTCCACCCCCCTGCCATGAGCAGAGACAGTTTCCACTAGACCAGGTTGCTCCAAGCTTCTGTCCAATCTGCTCTTCCAGCCAGGATGCTGTGAAACAAATTTCAGCAAATTTTGTAGCAGAGTTGAGGCAATACATCTTTTTTTTAACCTTTGTGTCTTACCTCTTCCACAAATTTGCACATTTCACTGCCTGTGCCGTATGTCAGGTTCTCAGTACCATATTTCAGCCCTAAATAATACTGACTGACTGTGTTTAACAGGACTTAAGATGAAAATACTGCCTTGTTCACAATACTGCCTCAATTTTCCTGTCTTTCCTGTTTTTTGTTTCTCCCCATTCTCTAGGCCCTCTCCTGGCCATGCCTTGTCACTGTCTCTGGATAAAGGCTGTTCTGACACAAGAGGTTTTTTGCAAAGGTTTCATGGGGGCTRTGATCTGGGCAGAGATCACACTACCTCACTCTCAGATATCAGCTGCAAGACAGTTCTGGCAAACTATTTTAGCCCTTCCTATCTAATTTTGGTTAGAAAAACTGTAAATGAGCTCTAGCAAGACCACATTTACCCTTCAGCGGTTAAATGTGAGTGCACAGTAACCCTTGCAGCRGCAAATGTTTCCAGTGCTGCTGGTTTGCATAGTTCAGTTTTGGTTTGGCTGTTAYCCATGTCAGGGAGAAGCATCAGTTTTTTGGCTTCCAGCTGTAATATGTTCTTGTTCTCTGTTTCTTTCTCCTAAGGTGAATCATTTATCAAAGAGACATCCAGACATGAAAATAGAAGAGGTGCCAGAGCTCACGTTGCCCATCATAAAACCCAACAGAGATTACTTCTGTCAATACTGCGATAAGGTGTGTGGGAAGGCACCCCTTGGAGGATAGCTCAGTCCCAGCCCTGGATGCAGTTTGTCTCTGCATAGAAATCTCTGGCAGGGTTTATAGCTGTTCTGAGGTGCTTGCCAGCAACCTTCCTGCAGTACTATCCAAAAAAAATGAAGACAAAATGCACTTAGGCCAAGGTAGTGGAATTCTAATTGAAAACTGCAGTTCTCCCCTTTCTGCTGTGTTTGGAAAACTTGACTACTATGATCCAGCAGACAGTCACTGACCCTTAGTCTTGTGTTAGCCCAGGACTAAGTATACTGTCTGTGTATAATTCCTGGCCACTAAGTTCTTTTGGTTTCTGTATCACTTCTAAAAGTTAGTCTCTAACCCCTTCTATTGTAAGCGGCTTACTAGGTCATGTGCCACTAATTCCCATYGTTCAGTGGAGCCTGAAACTGCTTCTGCAGTGCCTTTGGGTTCTTGCTCTTTTTCTCCTTTGCCTTTTATGCCTGGGGGCCTTTATTTACCAGGGAGTGCATTTTGACTGTCCCTATCCTCAGTATGTCTTTCTGTGATGTCTACTTCCTTTTGTTTTAGGAGAGAAAAAATAGTTTTAGTTATTAGATAGTATTCCTTCGTTTATGTGCCTGAAGAGAACTAAAAGGAATGTTGATCAGTGAACAAACAGTTTGATGATTCGTGTCAAGTACAGACATCAACCCTCATAACAAATTAACATTGGTCATTTGATCTTCAAGTATGGCAAGTRTGTCCTGCTGTAGTGTTTGCTTGTGACATACAATATGTTCTCAGAAGGCTTTTCTGTGCTACACCAGGAGTCAGTTGCTCTTACAGGTTGATGAAATACTGGAAGGTATATGTTCATGCCTTTTGTTGTAATTGTTTGGGGATTTAACTAAATGTATTGTCTAAAGCAACATGCAGACCTTCCAGATCAAGATAACTGGTAGCTGTTTCCTGTGCAAAAACCAACATTGCACCATTTTAATTCCAAATTTTTGCCCTGCAGGTGTACAAGAGTGCCAGCAAACGCAAAGCACATATCCTGAAAAACCATCCTGGTGCTGAGCTACCTCCAAGCATCCGGAAACTGCGTCCTGCRGGCCCAGGAGAGCCAGATCCCATGCTGAGCACCCACACCCAGCTGACAGGCACCATTGCCACCCCTCCAGTCTGCTGCCCTCACTGCTCCAAGCAATACAGCAGTAAGGTATGGGGGGTTCTGGTCTTAGCCTYTCCCTGGGGATGATTTTTTACCATGGGCTCTGTCACCTGTCCATCTACTAGCAGAGCTCTCCTCATCTGAGTCAGAGTACTGGTTTCATGATGTGTGCTGACAGTGCAGGCACAGCCTGGTTGTTTTAGGGCTAAAAGATTTCCTGAATAGAGTGTTTGTGCTCGAAAGAAGGAATGGAAAAGTTATCCAAGTGTGATCATAAATGGAAGGGCTTGGAAACTGCTCCCTGAYAGTTACTGGAAAAATGAGCAGGGAAACAAAACATAGAAAAGATGACCCTTGGAAAAAGTCATAAWACACTTGGCTATGCTGGAGTAAAAAGCTGTTGAGGACAATAAATCAGTGTCTGCTCTAACCAGCAGCAGCTTTGTGATCCTTGTTTTCATCTTGCTGTCCAGAGAATYTCATAGTGTGAATCTTGATGCTGCTTTACTGCAGGAAACCTAAAAGCTGCATTTGGCAGGATTTCATGWGGCCCTGAGCAAAGTTACTGACTGTCCTTCCAATGCTCCTTTGCTTCTCTCTGCAGACAAAGATGGTGCAGCACATCCGCAAGAAGCACCCAGAGTTTGCTCAGCTTCCAAACACCATCCATGCGCCACTGACAACGGCTGTCATAAGTTCCACACCAGCTGTTCTCACCACTGACAGCACAACCGGAGAAACTGTTGTGGTAAGGGCTGGAGGCACAGAGGGGCAGTGCAGGGAAACACACAGAACAGGAGCTTTCTGGTATTAGTAAACCTGGTTTATTTGGCAGATAGCACTTTAAAGCCTGTGTTAGGGCATTATTTGAGATCACATTTGGTTTTGAGTCCGTGTGGTGCAGTTTTGCACTGCCAGGAGCTGTTCACTTCTTTCTGGAGCTTTAAGGATTTGTCTTTTATCCCAAAATCCATTCCTTTCATTCAGACCTACTGACACCATGTAGTGTACTTAATGAACTGAGAGATACACATCTCATGGATTTTCACTGGGACTGTTCTCCCAAAGGGCTTGCAGTTCCTGGCATCAAGAGGACAAGTTTAACAGTGACTGGAGACTGGATCAAACTGTGTTCAAGGAGTCAAGATCTTTTTGTAATCYTTTGGACAGCATAGCACTGAGCAATATTAATCTCCAGTGGCTGATCTCTATACTGTTAATACATTAGCTGCCACAAAAGTGAAAGCTGAGACTAGAAAATGTGTCCTTCRGAGTGCCGGGATACTCTGTAGTTTTAAATGTCCTACTGATCACAGTTTAAAGCTTCCTATCTAAAGACTAACTGGATAAAAGACCATTTTGCTTGAAAATTGAGAGGTTCAGTCAGGATGCTGTTGGTTTCTTAAGCTTAAGTTATGTACTAAATGTCTTTACACATTAGAAATACAGTTATTACTAACAGGGGAGGAAGAAAGGTGGAATATGCCCATGAACCACTTTTTGACTTGGAACCAAGACAATTCTTCACAAGTACAGGACTTTTGTTGTTTRATTGAATACTGGTATGTCACAAGATGAAAATAATTATTTTTATTATGATATGTTAAGTTAGCCCTTAATGGTCCTGACTAGGATTTAGACTGAAGAGAGTGGATGATCCCTGGTGATTACTTATGACCCCAATCTCTGTAACCATTAAGCTCTTGTAGATAAATTACCAGACCCAATGTAAGTGTGGGTAAAAGAACTACAGCCCGAAGAAGTCCATCAGTATGATGGTGATCTGTGTGTCTCTCTCTCCCTGCTCAGACAACAGATTTACTGACCCAAGCAATGACGGAGATATCCCAAACCCTCACCACAGACTACCGGACTCCCCAGGGAGATTACCAGCGCATCCAGTACATCCCTGTGTCTCAATCCACAACTGGCTTGCAGCAGCCTCAGCACATACAGCTGCAGGTTGTTCAAGTGGCCCAGGTGAGTAACCTGATGGGGATCTTGCTGGGCTTTTGACCTCTTCCCTACCAAGCTGTGTGTTCTTGGGGCTGTAGCATGCAGAAGTGTTGTAAGGAGTAGTTACAAAAAATGCTGCAGCTACTTTTTACAGGTTAGTCAACTGATAAGGCATAGGGTTCCCTTCATAAGCACTTGTACTGGGCATAAATAGTCCTRCCAGCCTTGGTCAGCTTGCTGGAAACACATGGACACAGTCCAGACTTAGTTCTACTCATCTGGGCACCCTTGCTCAAGTCTGCTCTAGGAATGTTTTCCAGCAACTGGAAAAGTGGATCAGTGGGTGACTCATTTTCTGCAGTTCAAGACTAATTTGCACTTCCTTGTCCTCRGTGAGTCAGAACCAAAATTTGGGGTACAGAGAGTGGTTGCTTATTCCYTTCACAGCATCTATTACAATATTCATTCTCTTAAAGCTCAACAGCCTCCTAAAAATGAAACCAGAGTGAACTAGAGTAACTGGGCTGAGGAAAACATCTCAGATAGCTGTAAGAAATCACTGTCATTTTCAAATCTTACCCACTGGAGGAAGCTGAAACGACCATGTGTTTATATTGGAATCTGAAATTCKGTGTTCTCTCTTACCTCTCATTACAAATCAGGTTATGAATTGGGTTAATAAAGGCCTAAACAATGGCCTCAGTTGATAGTGGCTGTGGCTGATGTAATGATACAAGAGCATGAACACTGATTCYTGCAGGCAATATTAGCAAGATCTTAATTTTATAAATATCCAAGACTTGTAATTCAATTACTGCAATTAATATCAATAGCAAGTGTTGCTCAAAAATGTTTAAAAACCTTCTGTCAAACTACAGAATTGGATATGCAGATCTCAAGTATCTATGTATGTATAGAAAGATGCTTACAGAGAAGTGGTTAACAMTAATCCTGGCTTTTGAACCCTTTGGTTTAGTCCAGCCACTGCCACAAACAGCTTGCGTGATATTTCCATTGGTATCACTGAGATAAAACCATCTCTGTGCCATTACATCTGTTTAATGGACTTTATCTCCTGCAGTGCAAAGAAACTCAACAGGGTTGAACACATGTGCTCCACTAAGGCTCCTACCTCATTTTTCCAGACCTTGTGTCCCAGAAGAGGTTTACATGCCTGCTTTAGTAAAGAATTTGAGTTACAGACCTCATCTTAATTTTTTTTCTCCAGGCTACCTCACCTCATCAGTCCCAGCACTCTACAGTGGATGTTGGGCAGCTCCATGACCCCCAGACATACACCCAGCATGCCATCCAGGTGCAGCACATCCAGGTCACAGAGCCATCACCAGCAACTCAGTCATCATCACAGGTATTTCCCTCTTTTCTTCAGGAAAAGCTTTCTCTACTAGCCTGCTCAGCTGGCATATTGCATGTGCTGATGGAGGGGATACTGTTTTCTTTGTCGTTTAAGGGACCACATGTGAAATGATTCTCACATTGAGATCATCAAGCAGTGCCCAGATATCTCAGGGTGCATGGGGGTGTTTTGTTGTGGGTTTCTTTGGGTATTTGTTGTGTGGKTTTTTTGGTGTGGGGTTTTTTTCCCCTAACACTATGTATAAGGGAGAGATAAATTATAAACAGACACATTTGCAACTTAAATGAAGTTTGTCAGTTGGAAAATGTAAATGGAAACTGACATTCCTCAAATATTTGAAGTGCAGCTCTTCATGCTGTTGGGTAGAATTTAGCCTCTAATCTCAGGTSTCTGTCATAGACCCACTTTGGCAAGCAACATCTCTACTTCAGTTTCCTGGTCAGTGCTTATTGCCCATAGAGTGAAGCAAGTTGGAAGAGAGTTCTTGTGCTCGATATGCTCTGGAACCCRCCCCATATTTTCCCTTAATGAGAAGGTTGTATTTGTAACAGCAGAGCTGTGTAATCCTTACTACACCAAGAACATTTGCACCTTTTTTTCTGTAGGTTGGGGGTCAGCCTTTGAGTCCCTCCTCACAACAACCTCAGCAGGAACTCAGCCCCTCACAGATGCAAACAACTACATCAACACCAACCCAAGCCCTCCAGCAGCAGCAAGGCTCCTCAGTTCAGCACACGTATCTCCCCAGCAACTGGAACTCATTTCGGAGCTATTGTAAGTGTCAGCAGTAGCTCTAATTACTTGTCTGGCAAGTGTGTGTGTGACTGATGTGTGCCCCGTGTCTCCACCTACCAAATGGGACAGTGTTTTCAGAGCTCATTTAGCTTTGTGGTTAATTTTCATAGATACCAAGATGATAAAGTTTCAGACTTTATGCAAATGGTTGTACCAACTCTTCCACTGTTGTCCATACTGATCCAATACATGGTTTGGGCAGGCACACTGGGCTCCTTTATTCCAAGGAGCTTGCATTCAGCAAGAATCCATGTGTTGGATAGCCACTTGTTCAAATTTGGATAGGTGCTTGAAAGAATTRTRTGRAARGGAGGGTGGCATGAAGATGATTTCYCATGTCCATGCAGTTCTGGATGGTAAATCTGTGRTGATTTGAGTGAGAACAGGATGTGTTTTCTCTGCATGAATTGCCAAATCTCCAGCTGGTGTTAACTGGCATAAATCTGCTGAGGCTTGTAGTGTTCTATAAGGCCTTACATCACCTCAATTTCTATTCAACATCCACTGTTTCAGACTTTRAGATGTAASACTTACTGACATRAGACATGATCTTTGAAGGTTGTCTTTGAGTCTTGATTATCCAATTTGCATTTTTAGCATCAGAGATTCAAATGATGACCATCCCCCAAGGGCAGTATGTGATCACAGAGACTGCTGTGGGTACCCCAGTCACCACTGTCAACACAGGACAAGTGAAAGCAGTTACTCAGGTAAGGAAAGCCATCATGGCCTTACTTTCATCCAGAATATTTTCAGGCATAAAGTGCTTCAGCTTGAAGGTTTAAGGAATACCAAAATCATGACAKGGGCACAGAATGGATGTACCTAAAGAGGTGCAGACTGCACAGTGTAGTCTGCATGTAATCATTTACAAGGCCCATGCTATCTGCCCTTGTATGTATGACTCCTTCCAGTTTAAAGTCTTCATTTAATCACATTTGCAGGACAAAGTATTATTTTGTAGTACTACTTAGTCTTAAAAATATTTATGATTAAGTAGTATCCATTAAACCAAATTTCAGAACAGCCTCTGGAAGTGTTTCAGTAGCTTTCTGYTATCTGTAAGATTAGAAACTAAAGAGTTCCAGCTATTCCTTGTAAGCAATCAAGCATAAGGAGGCAGGTCATTGGCCTGTGTTTGTATTGGTCACTGGGGGTGCAATTTCTGCTAGAACATGGGGAATACAGGAAAAAACCTTTCAGAATAGTTGAATTAAAAATTGCTATTTTAATCTGTAGTGATGTGTAATGAGTTTGTGTCATGAGTTTAACCAAAATTAACCAAATGGCAAGTCCAATGTCCTTCAAATCAAAAGGCAGGCATTATGTTGCTTTCAAATACATTTAAATGAAATAGAGCTTTGTTAAAAGGTTCCTTGTTCACACCAAAATGTCTGCCAGCAGACTATTAGAACAGCAAAGTTTCAGAAGATAGAGTGGTTATTATTTATTTTCTGTATTCCCCATGCAGACTCACTACGTGATATCGGAAGGTCAGCCTGATCTGGAYGGCAAACAAAACTCTTCACTTTCCAGCGAGGTTCAGGTGGGCGTTTCTCAGCCYGCAGCCCACACAGATCCCTTGGAATCCCAAGCGAGCAGCCAGCAGCAAACCACCCAGTATATCATCACAACCACCACCAATGGGAGTGGCGGCAGTGAAGTGCACATCTCCAAACCCAGGACCTTCTCAGCAGAGCATGAGTGAAGGAGCCTCGTGGTGCCATTTGCTTGTCCTTGTCACCTCCCCAACAGCCCAGATGTGGGGGTACCTTGGGGCTCTATATGTTTTAATGTATATGCTCACTTACCTTCCACTAAAATCTTGGCACTCTTGGTAATGCTTTAAGAGGGTTTAAGTCCCCAGTGACCATGAAGTACCCTCAAAATCCTTCTGGGATGCTTTTTATGCAGCTTTTAACAAAAAGGACAAGAGAAGTGAGATGTCTGCTTGCCCTGGACTTTATTTTTGGCATGTCTGCTGACCCTTATTTTTCCTTCTTTGAAGTGTCTCCAGCAAAMAATTTTATTTCAACTGCATGGGAAAAAGACTGCCTAACTGAAGGCTTCCTGGCAGATTGTTATATGTATMTTTTTAACAGGAGCCATTAAACAGGAGAACATCATGTAAATTGCCAGAATATGGCAGAACTGCTTCCTGTGGCTTCTAGCAGCCAAGGTGAAAGGGAATGTCCCTGCTCCATGTGAGCGATTGCCGGAGAAAGGAGCAGCAGCAAAGCAGTGGCTCCTGGTGTCCCTGTGTGGGGATGGATTGAACAATGAAGCTGTGAAGATGTGCTGAAGCAGTCCTTTAAATTATTATTTTTCCAGCCCTCCAGAACTGTTTACATGTTGTCTGCCCTGGCCCTTTACCCAGCAGTTCCAGAAACCAGGAAAAGCGCAGTCTTAAACCCATGTTGTTTAGAACAAACTGATTGAAATCCTAGGAGCACCTAAGGGTAGTACCAAGCCACTGTTACCTGTTACCTCTTTTCCCTCCAGTGTTTGCAGGGAAAATTGATTTTTTACCTGTGAACAAGAAAAAAAAAAAGAAGAAAGGCTCAGCTAAAGCTGTACAGCAGCTTCTGCTGTAATCTAACATAGTAGTGCCAGAAGAAAATGAGGATACAGAGCACTCCTCTGAAGGGACAGGGCTCTGTGGCCACCTCAAAGTAAACATATTTCTCCTCTTCAAGGCCGGATGGAGAGTTGGTTATTTTAGTTTTTTTCCAAATAACCTTGTTAACAATGCACTGTAATTCCTTTGGACAGTTCCATAAAACAACCAGGCCCGGACTCAGGAAACACAGAAGAAACATGCTAGTGGACCACTATTTATGGGACATGGAGACCCATCCATGAGGGTTGCCTGATGTGGACCTGGTCAACATACAGAATTCATGTCACATTTAGGGACCAGGAGAAAGGGAAAGAGAAGGTTTATCTTTTAATGCCATGTAATATGTTTTTCCTTACAAAGTTCTCCTTCACATGTCGCCTTGGTTGTTTAAGGCATTCTGGTGGTTGCAAGAATATGACTAGAACTCCATTGACTTCTGGTGGGATATAGCATGTATATCTGAACTTCCATTCACTGTGGAAAACTCATCCCGGGACATCTGTACATAACAGGATACATTTATTTATAAAACAAAAACAAGGAAGGGTGTTGTGTCTTAGAGGCCCTTGAGACAGAAGAGCTTGAGAGGTTTTTTTTATTTGTTTATTTGCACTGAGTGTGGTTGTGGGATTCTTCCATAGGTATTCCCATGGATTCAGGTGCAGACTACCCATGTGAATAAGCACTACAGGTTGCAGTATCAGGTTTTATGGAGTTAAAGCTCTTTGACATGAAAGAACCCCACACTCAGGCCACACAAGAGCAAATCTGGTTCCTTGTGGGCAAAGCCTTGTAGCAGGTATTGCATTGGTACCTAACRTATCTATTAATGTGGTGTGGAAACAGTATTGAGAAAAATCAGTTGGCAAATAGTGGCCAGCTCAGAACTGTTCTGAGGTAGSTTTGAAGTGACTTGCCAAAATGTGGATTACTTTGTTCCTGGGATTTCTCTTCTCTTGCTGTATGACTGTACTGGGGTATTACTGAACCAGTTAAAATTAACATGGACCACAGCTCCCATTTGGTCAAGGGCAGTGATGAGTGATTTTAAATTCTGTGGATTTTGACAAGCAACCACAAAGCCCAGTAAGTAACTTGAATTCCTGTTGCTGAGGACTTTGGAATTATGATGTTGGGCCTTGCAATGTTATTGGTGCAGAAAGAGAGTAGGGGGAATTTTTGTCTTGGCTTTCTTCAGGCTACTGCTGATCTAATAACAAGCCAGAAATGCAACAAGTAGTAGGAAAATAGCAGACTTGGAAATGGGAGACTGGGAATACTGGGTACTGGGGTACTGCCCTGCAGGAGCAATTTCAACAGTCTTAAAATTTGACTATAGATTAACATTAAATATGTTCCCATTAATGATGTTGTAGACATGGGGTTCAAAAATTATTTTGCTTTATTCACCTTTGTTGGAACAGTTCCTGAATGAGAACAGTGGTACCAGTTACTTAYAACTGAAAACTATTTAAAACAGAAAACCATTTTAAAAGAGCCTCTTTTAACTCAAATCTTCCTCATCAAAGTTTCTYTGCCCCACAGCAGCAGCATGCTGGGCTGTCGGCCTGACTCCAARTGAAGTAATTCCTAGTGTCCCAAGYTGAATGAATGCCCTTCTGTGAAAGTATCCCTGGGAATGGAAGTACCACAGATTTTCCTTCTGAAATAAGGAACTGCAGTGATTGCACAGATGGCAAAGATTGCATGGATATTTTTTCCCCATTTCTGCAGTGCAGAAGGTATAAGATGTATTATTATTATTATTTTTAAACCAGAGCAACCCAAAGATCTCTCTAAGTTGTGTCCCACAGAAGTGTAAATCCACAGTCCTCTGAGTTGTCTGCAATGTCCGTGTTTTGTTTGGAGATGCTGTCCCTTGGGAGGCATTTTGGGTCAGATTCTGCATTTTCCTGGAGGAAAAAGAAAACAACCCCAGCCCACGTAGGCTGATCTTGCACCTCTTGGACTGCTCGGGCCTATTTAACTGTGTATGTTTATTGTACATTTGGTGACTGTTGTGTTCAGAGTCTCGTGCAACCTGGCAGGTGTAAAAAAAAGAAAAACACAAAACCTGAAAATAATAAATCTTTTTCTTGTTTTTTTTTTTTTAATCACTTGTGATAACCAGTCTTTCATGGGGTAAGGCATTCAGTGGAGGGTGAGTGAAGTGGGGTGTGGATAAATGGGAAGACAACAGTATAGAAGTTATAGAGGAAAATACGTTTGCTACTCTCTAAATGGAACACAGAATTTCCCACAATGCAATCCAAAGTGGGGTAAATGGAGGGTGGAGTGGGAGCTCTGGCTCTGCTGAAACCCTTGCAGAGCAGGGAATTTTAAAAATTATTTTTAAATTTAAAAGGTAGTACTTTTTAGCTGATCAACTGTACAGCATCTGAAAACTGAGGGAGATAAAGCAACAATGGATCAGCAACAATGACAAAATCCCTCTAGGAGTGGCTCATGTCCTCATCCCAGAGTTATCTGAGTTATCCTGAAATATCCACTCCCAAGATATGACCATCGCTCACTGTGTGACTTAAGTCACGCAAGCTCCACCTAAACATATAGTATAAAAATGAGTTAAAAACAGGGAGAAATTGGAGAAGAGTTCATCATAATTTCTGAGATAAATCTGTCTCTTGCCCATTGGGTAAGACCTGCACTCTGATTTATCGTGAGTCACGTTTTGTCGGGGATTAGAGCTTGCCTGTCCATTGCTTTGAAAACATCTTTGCTGTCAGATGCTGTTACCAGCAATCCTGAAATTTAACCTGTCATTATTTTATTAAGTGTTACTCTGTAAACTGTTAATGTGAGTCCTTGGAGGACGCTGGCAGTGGGTAAAGACGTGAAGGCCCCGGAAGAACCGCTGCTGTATGAGAATTTGCTGCGTTAAAATTATTCAGCCTTTTAACATTTAACAGTAATATTAGCAGAGTATATCAATGACTAATCCACTAAACAGGACTGCAGTCAAGCCATATAAATCTGCGACTGATAGGTAGCTTCAGCACTGCACAAATGCCGTATTTTGAAGGTAACTTACAGAGCATTCCCCTCACGGATGGGCGGTGCCGCGCCTCAGGGCCCGCGCAGGCGCGGTGGGGCGGGGCGTTCGCGCAGGCGCCGTAGCGCCGCCGCCTTCCGCTTTCGGCCGGGCCGCGTGAGGGGTATGAAATAAACCTGTTTTCTCTGTTTTCTTGGCTGTCCCACCCGGATTTTAGCGGTTTTTTATTGCCCTGTTGTTTATTCTGCGTGGTTCAGGCGTTTCTTCGCAGCCCAGAGCGGCCCGGCTGTGCCGCGCAGGCGGGGACGGGGCTCCTGGCCCTGTCACAGGTTCAAACTGAGACAGAGCCCACTTTACACTGACCTTCGGTTCTGCACCTTAAAACTGCCTTCAGTATTTAAATGTAGTCTTTCCCGGTGTTTAGCAGTGTTGAAAACAGTTCCTGCAGGGGGGGAGCAAAGTGAGATGCGTCAGGTGTACTTCCCAGTCTACCTCTCTGGAAAAGCATTTCTCTACTGTCATGACCTGTGTTGTAATTGAAGAGTAAATGTTTCTATGTATGTGTTTCATATATATATRTRTRTATRTRTMTGTGTRTGKGTKT